TTCTCACGTTCTTGTAAAATGAAGGTGTTCTAGTTTGAACCTTTCTATATATATATATATATATATATATATATATATATATATATATATATATAAAGAGATTGGGATATGACAGATTGTCTATATTGATTGAGGCCCTACAAAATATTCATGGAGGATCCTACATAAATGCATGTCTTTTTTCTTCCTTTTCACATATATTCTTCTTTTTTTAATAAAAAAAACCCGAAAAGGTGAAACATTCGTACTCTTATGTCGTATTTGTATTTATTCACCGACAAAACCTACTAATCAAATTCAAACTCGTCTTCTTTAAATTTATCGTAAGAATGTCTCAACCACTTATAAGATTACAAATAACGGCATTTACTCAACATATCTATGTATTATGGGGCTCGACTCGACATCTTCATGTCCATTCGGTTGCCCATTGGTTCATTTCAAGTCGATCTGGTTTGGGTGGTGCCGAGTTTTTGATACGATCGGCATGTAAAAACTAAGAAAAAAGCACCTTCAAACCCGACTTTTGAGTTATTATCATTGCTTGCCTTGAAGCACGAGGGCAATTTCCTCGGCTCTTGATTGAATGCCTTTTAAGAACTCGACAAGGATACGCTGCTGATAAGAACCTCCTTCCTGTGCATTTAAGAAAACAAACCATTTGAAAATTTGTTGCAGTTTGATGCATTTTTTCCGCAGAATACAATGCTTGCTGATCTTGAAAAAGGAACAAGATACAGAGGTGAAAGCGTGCAAACCGTTCGAATCAGTGTCCTTTCTATTCGTTTCTTTATGGCAGCATACAGTTCATCTGGTGAGATATCACCTTTACCGGCAGTCAAATGATCGATCAACAGCTTATTCCATTCAGATTCTGGGGCTGGATTCAAATGGAAATTGGTCAGAGCAGGTTAATTCAAGAAAGTCGTCAAGAAAACCACGATACGCGAACCATGTTTATGAAACATCCCACCCCAGAAGCCAGATCCTACTTATATTGTGTCAATTTGGTTTTGTTTGGCTAATGAAGAAAAGACAAACATACCCTTGGTCTAATTCGACTATTTGTTTCAAAATGACAAAATTAGTAAGTGTACCAAATTGCTCATCTTTCATGCCAGAATGCTTCTGCATTGTGACGAGTCATATATATATGTGAGTTGATATGTAGGCAGACCTAATCTCTACCCAAAAAGAATATAGCGGCTATTTCCATATATATATATATATATATATATATTGAACTAACAAAACTATAATGTTATGACACATATAAGGAAGGCAACAAACGGGCAATTAGCACCTTTGATAATTTCCTCAAGACACTGCTCGGCTTTTAAAACTTCATTTCCTGCATCAAATGATTCCAACACTTGAATTAGTTAACGTTCGTTCCATTTTCATGGGAATACGACTCCCATTTTCTTTAACTACGTGAACTGAAGACGATGCATTCTTGCCCACTCTTGTACTAGAATTAAACATAAACGAACTCCAGATCTTTCGAACACATGTTTTCCATTTTGCATCTTTTGATCCAACGTTAATAGTTGCAAATTGAGTAAATAAACTCATGAACGCAATATCGCAATGAGAATCTCACAAATGGACAACATTTCACATGAGTTGGTTATCAATTTATCACCTTTGATGGCATAACTGCGTTTTGACAGGATTCTTGAAGCGTAGAGTTGCAAAACTTTCTGCAGCATTGCCTCAAGACCTGGCTTGTCTCCATCTTCCTTTGCCTGAAATTTGTTTGAGAAACAACGAGAACTTCAGTTGTGGATATCTGAACTGCATTGAATATTGATATAGTTCCACATTGGAGGGTCTTATAAATGTGCTCATTACTATTTACTTGTTAGAAAGTAAAAAAAAGGGGGACGAAGCAACTAGGCTAATTAGGAAAGAATTTGTTTGGTACGTGGATAGAATTGGACTGGATAGGCAAGAGTGAGGTAGGCGGGTGAAAGAATTGTGGATGGTTTTAGGGTTTTATTGGACATGGGTAGTTTAGCAATTTCAAAGTAGACGTCACATATGCTTACATCCCACCCTCCCCAGACCTCACCTCTGGGTTGGACATACTCGGTTTGTTTGGTTTGGTAATAGGGTAGTTCAATAATTTACCAATCTGTCCCATACTCCCATCTCCCAATTGTCCTAGTATAATGTCGTGGGACAACAAGTTTTTGTTATGTTCTATCCCACATACTAAACGCACTAGAAAAAAAAAAAGAACACGATTGGATAAACTCACCTGCCGTAGTTGTGCACTGACTTCTGCTAGAAATCCCTCATCCAGTTGGCCTTCCTGCTCCCTTTGGTTTACTTCCTGTGAAGTATAATAAATATTCAGCATATTAACATTTATAATACAGACGCACACACACACACACACACACACTCACATATATATATGTATCCTGCTCGAAACATTCGAAAAGGGATGACTAAAATAATCATAGGTTCCAAGAATACTTCGGATCCTAGAAAGTTTCATGGTGTAATTTAATATGGGCAGGCCAAAAAGACGAAAGAAACCATACTTTTTTCATGAGATTGAGGGAATTAGGATCCCGAGGAGGCCAACAAATCTCTTCTATGTCATCAACTACAGGTCTTAAAATCTCCTTGAGAACATCGGTAGCTGACTCTATTTTTTCCTGCAGGAAGAAGAAAACTGCGATATGTGTAAAAAGATGTAACAGGAAAAAGATAAAGATTTATGATATAAATGCAGTTACGACAAACGACAACTGGTTACCTTCCTAATGCAGTGCTACATGTAAAGAACCCACGATTGTGTGTGTGTGTGTAAATATGTTAGAAAAATGATTAAAAGAAGAGTACATTGGTCTTGTGTACAACACGATCAACTATGCTCATAACAGATGAAGCCAGTTCTTCGTAATCCTTCTGCAAATACAAGTGGTCGATATTTTTCACATATAAGAAGGCAAAAATAATTCAAAATCCAAAATTCAAAATCTGTACTTTATCATCATCTGATTTGCAGGTGTCTGATCTAGCTGCAAGTCGTATCCAGAAACCCTCGTTGAAAGCAAGAATATTTTCTACAACAAGCTTTTGCAGCTGTTTTTAAGGAAAAGAAATACGTAAGGAAGTACAGAAGTGATGGGAAATTCTTTGTAGATAGAAAAAGAATGAATACAGGTCATTCCAATCTTTTTGGAGGCCCTGTAATGTGTGTACCAAAGCTATAAATCGACTTGACGAGTAGTAAATAAAATACTAATAGAAAAGTTCATATATATTAAAAGTCTTAAAAATTAAAAAAACAAACATGTCTTAGGGGGGCTGTCAGGTTGGTTTTCCATTAAGTACCGTGTAGATTAATCTATCTGTATAGATTGAGAAGGTTTTTGTTTGGGAAGGTTTTTTCATAGATGGAAGGAGCAAGTTTTTTAATTGGGATGGGCTAAGTTCGGTAAAAACTTGGCTTTTTGCATAAAGCTCCTGCTATAAGCTTACTAAATAAGCCACTTTCTATATCATTAAGTCACCACCAAACAGTCATGTATAACTGACGGAATAAGTTGTGCGTCCCATTAAGCTCATTCAGCTGCTAATGAATAGACCCTTAATAACAAAATAACATATGAAATTCCCTTGAATAGAATCATTCTTTGAAAGCCAAAATTGGAATTGTCGAATTGACTAACAGAGTAAAAGCCTAAAACATTATAATTGGGCTAAAGGCTAAAACATGTATAATCGGTTCCTAAATTTTTTGGTGGACTTGTTCCATATCCATACATTGAAACACCCTCGAGTATGCAAAGAAATGTGTGCTTACTTCCCGATCACTTGCACCCTTTAACATGTCAATAAGTCTATCGACTTCCACAGTTTTTTTAAACGCATCCTCGGCATCTTGATCGACTGCACATACCAAATATCTCCTGTTTATTGTATCCAAAATGAGCGAATTAAGAATCAACAGTTCCAAAATCAGAGAAAAGAACATAATTACTATGATTCAAAGATTAAGGATGTGGCAAGATTTTCTTTTCTTTTTTTGCCATTTCACAAAACCATCGTGTCCGCATAACGGGAAGAAGAAAAACAGTATGTTCCACGTAGATCAATTCCAACGTAAACAAATGAAATCCGGTGCCGGTTTTAAGTTTAGGGCATGTTTTAGTAGCCAATAGCCAGTCAGCTACCAACTAGCTTATCTAGTTTACCAAACAGTTAAGCCAGTTCAGCTACCAGCTAGCTTATCTAGTTTACCAAACATAGCAGCATTAAACAACATTTTTCATGAATAGATGAACCACTGTGTTTATCTGCAAGTTATCAGCATCCCATTACAGTTTACAAATCTAATTGAGAATCAATGTTGGATAGGAGACAAATCATATATTCTGTCTAACCAAATGTCTTATGCTTATACATGAATTAGATCCCAAATTTGAGTGCATTCATCACATACCTTAACAACACAACCATGGTGGAAAAGGAAAACATAGAAACCCTAAAAATACGAATCAAATCGATTACCTCCTTTTGGTTTCCGTTAGACTAGTTACAGGAAATGAGCTATTGCTGGGAATCCGAAGATGGCATCTTGGAGGCGATGAAGACTGAATACAGCAAAAGCAAAGTTAGAATGTAAGACATAAATGATAAGAGAATTCCATGGAAGAAGAATTGAGGAGTAGAAAGAGGGTACGGAGGCAGGGGAAACAGGATTGCAGCGAATGAGGGATTGGGATGGTGAAGAAAGAAGAGCAGTAGAAGCCATTGTTGAAGATATCTTTCAACCAACACCAACCAAGCAGCAGCAGCAGGGGATATCTGCAACACAAGAAGCCTATCATTTTTTTAGTTATTTTGTTTTGACATATTTTCTTAAAACTAAAAAAAAAAAAAAAAAAAAACTTTGTTTGTTTACCTCTTAATAGTTTTATTAAAATACAATTTTAGAAAAAATCTTATCTTTTATGATTCTAAAATTCTTTAAATAATTTTATATCATGTGCTTCCCTTAACCATCTAGCGCCTTAATTTCATTGTAAACAATCACCAAACAGTTATATTTCATTTTACATTATATAATGAGAGTCTCTTAATCATTCTGATAACTTAGTTATTTAAAATCTGTTAAACAGTCCGGTACCTCAAAATGATTTTTTTATTCTCATTAATGAAAATCTTTGATATAAAAAAATATTAATGTTTTATTTAATATTAAATATTTTAACCAAGTAATTAATATTGTAATTTTAAAAAAGAAGATGCTTATGGAATTGAATGTAATTATTTTTGAAATTTTCGATTTCTGATTTTTTATCTAAAAGAAATTCTAAAAGTTCTATTGAATAAGCTCTTAAAACTGCAATAAATTTTAAAAATTCTTCTCAGATGTTACTGGTTTGAATGACAGTTGGGGTTTTTCTGGTTGTTCTCCAGTGTTATCGAGGTACACTTAAACTCATCTGCACACCCACAGGTAAAGAAGTTTGCAACGGATGTTAAATATATCATTCAACTATAAAAAATATCAGATAACATCCAAATAATTTTCAATTTAACGACATTCATACCAAATAATTTTAAAAACCCATAAATAAATTTTGTAGCATATATAAACTTTCTGATGATCAAAATACAAAAAAAGAAAATAATAAATGTATATTCTAATCATTGAATTAACCCATTTTTCTGTAGGTTATATGACGGATGAGTGAGTAACGCGTAAGAACCTGTCATTGGGAGGGGAATCCAATCATTCCGGATAACGCTTGCATCCTCTATTCAAGAACAGATGGAACGTTTTATACTTCAAGAACAAGCAGCAACTTTCGAGTTTTTTGTCTGATTAAAGGATACATGATTAAAAGTTTGTGTGATTGATAATCATAATATTTTGATTTATAAAGCTTGACCAAGCTCACCTTTTTTGGCTGAGACTGGGACCGGTTATGACCGGATCTGTTGAGACCCGGGATAGGTAAGAACCGGCCCGGCACGAGACCGGTTTGGCCATCACTAAATTAAAATATATAGACTCCAGTACAACCCAATACATAAATCTTAAAAAGAGAAAATTTAGAAAGCCCATTAATAGTTTAAAATGGGCCTGAAGTTTTGGGCTTTAGCCTTTCAAATAAGCAAATTCTCTCCAAACGAAAAAATGATCGAAGACCGTTTGCCGTTTGGTATGTAGTGATGGTCGGGAAAATGGAACGGATGTAACGACGGATTGAAAAAAGCATTTGCAACATATTCTTGAAAATAAGGAAAACTGATATTTCAGAGACTAGAAGGATACTTGCGTAATACAGCGAGATATATCTCAATTTTAATGTTCGATTTTATTCATTTTCTCTGTCAATATAATACGGTCTTATGTAGCTTTTAGAAAACGATTTATATTTATAATGAAATATAAATTTGAAAAAAAAATATCAATATTAATATTAAATTAATTATTTAAAAGTTTTCGTTTTTGTGTAATTTCTTTAATTTAATTTTTTATTTATAATTTATTTAGATCTGATAATAAAGTAATTTATTTTTGTTTAATAATATAATTTTTTATAAAGGTGAAAATTAACTATTTTGTTAGAATTCAATGATTATTCTAATTATATTTTAAATTTTTTTATACTTAAAATATAATGTTTATCTTGTATTTGATTATGTTTATCTGCAGTTAGTTATACGAATTCAGATATGGAGCTTTAATAAGTTGTACTTACGCACAATTTACTTGTAATATTGAATTCAAAGTAATATGCACCAATAAACAATACTTCATGCATAAAAATGGTTTTTAAGAGTTTTATCAAATATTTTATAATATAGTATAAATAAAATATAAAAAATGTTTAAATTTATAGAATTATATAAAATTATATGCTGAAAAAGGAAAAAATTGTTTTTCTATTGCTTCCACCAATAAAATTGAACGTGTTATCAATTCATATATAATTTATTTGAAATTTATCGAGATATTAAATATATTGAAATTTTAATAATATAATTATTGTTGAGATTTATAAAATAGAGAACTTTTAAAGTTTAATGTAATTTTTTTAGCTTTTATTTTTTTTATCTTAAATAAATTATAAAGAATCTGTTGGAAATATTTGTAGTTTATATTGTAGGCGATAGAATTGAATATGATTCCATTTATTTGATCGATTTTCACTTTCCGAAAGAGGGAAGTTTTTTTTTTCCTTATACAACCCCTTTGCCATGTTTCGGCCTTCCGCCACCTCCCGTCCCCCTTCGGCAACAATGCTTTATTGCAACACCAGAGAGACTCGCCCCTTTCCCAATGAAAAGTGCCCCTCTGCCCCTTTCTCCTACCTTCTTCCTTCACCTCTTTCCCTCACACTCGGAATCCAACTGGCACCACTTCTTTCATGCCCTCGAGAATTTCCCACCAAATTAAAATACTAATCAAAAACCATTTTCAAGAAAGGAAGAAGATGGTTCAATGTTTTGCTTTCTTCGAATTCCACTTCTTTACTTGCTGTTCTTTTTTAATTCAACCAAACTTTGTAATTGACGTGCAATAGTTAAGGAAAGCGAGGATGACGATGACGAGATTTTATAGAGTTTTTATGTAAAGACCTTGAACAGGGTTGGTCCTGGGGGTTCTGATGCCATGTGCGAGAATGCTAAAAAACACCCATATGTCGATTATTTCAGCAAACGAAACGTACTATTTTCTAAAAGATTTGAAACCTAGTCGAACAAGGGGGCTCATCCCCACACCGAATCAATCAAAACATTCTAAGGAGAAGGGATGATGAACAGTAGGAATGAGTTTGGTTGTTCATTTGTTTGATGATTGTATTCACGCTTCCTTTCTTTAACTAGATTAACCGCTTAGTTGATGACATGAACGGCTTGAACTGGTTGTTTATGGCCTAGATGATTAGACCACAACTAGTAACAGATAAAAACTCGATGCCCCTTAAGCTTATGATGTCTTACACCTGTACGTAACCAGGGTCAGCCCTGATCTTGAAAAACCTCAAGATACCACTTTCTTATTATCACGTTAGCAAACGAAAACTTAGAAAACTCCACTATCATCATTAACTTTGCAACTTCTTTGTAAGTCTCCTATATTTCGCATCATTAACTTTTAATAGCATTTTATAAATTAACTCTATTAAAAATAAAACAAACTAATAAACAGTAAAAATGACACCATTATCAATCTAAGAACCTGCGTTTTAATTCAAAAACCAACTTTTTTACCAGACACACTCCAAGAACGTTGTTGCTATGATTTTATCTTCTAAACCGCTCTTGCAATGAGAGATGGCTAAGCAAATTCTCATTTAGCAGAGTCGGTCTTTATACTGAAAATTAAAACAAGTTGCAACTCGTAGCATTAAAAAGGACACTTTTTTGAAATTACAAAAGTAAAATAAAAAAAATGCTAACTTCTAACAAACCATATAGACGAAACCACTTGGGTTCTGGTGATGTAGTAGAAAATCTTATCTATCCTGGGTTCAAATCCAGATGTCATAGAATCCGCTATGGTCATGGAAGTTCACATACGATGTCTTCAAACCGTTCATAGTCGTTCAAAAGGATTAATCAGTACACGTAAATTGGACCGAAAACTCACAGTTCAAAAGACAGGTAGAAAACAAATAAACATACATAATTTATTTATATATTTAAATATCAAATTACTTGTTTATTGTGTGACAATTTCATAAAATGATATTGTGGGTTTTAAAGATTCTAAAAGATTGTGAGATATCTTATGATGATGGGCCAAAAAGGTGTTTCTTGTCATTTAGTATTTTGGGACCACTTTGCAATTAAAATGTATACCACTTTCCTTCCATTCAATTTTTCTTTGAAGATTCTTTTGATCTACATCAAGGTTATCAAAATAAACAGAAATTGACTTAAATATTTATTTCTTTCATTTAAATCGGTTTTTTAGTCATTTTTTTCCCGTTTTTATCCAAAGTTTGTAATATCCATATCCACAATATTGCACTAATGGTCATAATGTTTGTCAGTTGCTGAATGGTTTGATTCAGAATGATTAAAATGTGAAATATAATTGTTTAACAATTATTTACAACGAAATTAGGGTGCCGAATGATCAAGGGATGCTTATGATACAAAATCATTCAGAATGTTTTATAACTATTAAGAAACAAACTTTTTTTTACCAAACAAGATTCATTTCTTAATAATTCAGATGCTACCTCATAATATTAATAGAACTATTAAGAGGTAAACAAATAATTCATTAACTTTTAATAAATATTAGGTATGAAATAAAGGTTTTTTCAAATTTGAATAACCAAAAAGTGTAAATTGTCATGTTGTGTGGTTGGGACCCTATGAATGCTTTATTAGTTGGCCAATGCATTTGGTCAAATCTTGTTTTTGATGGTCCAATCACAGCCCCCCCAATCAACAAATATTTGCCCATTTTTCCCAAACCCATCATTGCACCTTTTAGATGCCAAAAGTGCACATTAAATATGTAACACCACTTGCTTTTTCATTGAAATTACAAGATTAACCATCGTGGTTTGTAAAAACATTCGAATTTGGTTTCTCTCTTTAACAACCGTTAATCTTTTTGTCAAATAAGGGGCATTTTAGTTTTTTTTTATCGATTTTCTTTGTCTTTTATCCAATCAAAATCAATTTTTATAATTTTGGCCCCTCTAGTTTTTGGTCGAGTAAAAAATAAAAAATTGACAAAATCACATAAATGCTTCTCATTTAACGGAATTTTCTAACGATCGTTAAAAGGAGGGACTGAATTCATACGTTTTTGCAAATTATGATTGGCCCCTCTTGTTTTTTATTTCTGTTTTTATCTTGTAAACTTAAGTCCTGAACGTTGTTTGGTTTCTAGATTTGCAGAGAAAAGATGATAATGTTTAGGGTAATAATTGGAAAATTGTCACAATTTTGACCAAGGGAGGTTCAAATGAGTTGACTTTGACTATTGAGATCCTTGTCACCAATCCATCAAAGGCTGATATTTCATGGACGGCCCATAAAGTCCTACCAGAAAGCCCATCACCTCCTTCACTTTTTCTTTGTCTACATTACAAGTTTGTGCAATAACACCCCTCCAAGTTATGGCAATAGGCAAAAAGTACACTTAAGTTTTGATGTTGTGAACATTTGTGCAAACATCAAAGAAGTTTTGGTGGAATGGACATGATACAATAGCTTAGATGATAATTGTAGTGTTACGAAAGCAAAGGGTTTGAGGCAATGCATCATGTTTAAAAGATGCGGTTTTTAGGCCTTTTACGAGTACAAACACCCAGTGTATGAACTAAAAGATTGGAAAACAAACCTATGCAATGCTTTATTCAAGTGCAAGAACAAGTGTAGATTTATTACGGGTTTTTGCATGGTAAGAACATATATGTATGAAAACTAAACTATGGAGGGGTCGTTTGAAATCCTCTTAGTTTGTACTTTTTTAAGAGGCCCTTTTATTGAATCAGAGATATATGTGTTTGGTAAACATTTGGTGAACAGATGACCGAGTGTAGTCCTCGTTCAGTGTTGAATGGAAAACTCAACATCTTTCTTCTTTCATTGCTATTCGCTAAACCTTAAAAATAGCAATGTTCCAAAAGGCACACAAATTACACAATAACAACCATTATGGCTCAACACTCGTGTTTCACCTCACTTGAACTTGTAGCACAACATTGCCCAATGTGCAGTTTTTTGTACACAATATATGAGTTTTCTCATCTTTTTCGTATTTTACTTTTTATGTTTGGCAGTTGCTGAATGATTAAGTGGTCAGAATGATTAAGAGGCTCTCATGATATAATGCAAAATGAAATATAATTGTTTGATAATTGTTTACAAAGAAATTAGGGCGCTGAATGGTTAAAGGAAACTCATGATACAAAATCATTCAGAGAGTTTTAGAACCATTAAGAGACAGACTTTTTTTTGTCAAACAATATTTACCTCTTAGCGATTCAGAGACTGCATCTTAATGAAACTTTTAAGAGATAAACAAACAGTTTTAGTATCACTGATTCGTTGAGTAGTAGTAAGAACCATGTGTATGTATATAATTATATACATGATATATACATATATTGACCAACTTGAACAAAATGCAACCATCCTCTGATATATATAAATTGAAGGACTCATTATTGTTTTATCAAAACTAAAAGGGGTATTTATGTTCATCATCATTAAATAAAGGACTTATCTGTAAATCCGCCATTATTAAAGTATTGGTTTCAGACTCTCATGGCGGCAACAAGACATCAAGGATAAAAAAATCCCTCTCTCCACATCCATATTACACCCATCAACGTTCTCCCTTAATTCCACACACGAAACCTAAACACAGATAACCAAATGAAGATCCAATGCGACATGTGTGAGCAAAAGGAGGCCGCCGTTTACTGCACCGCCGATGAAGCCTCCCTCTGCCATGCCTGCGACCGCCGTGTCCACCATGCCAACAAGCTCGCCAACAAACACCTTCGTTTCTCCCTCAATCCTTCTTCAGATGAACCTCCTCGATGCGATATCTGTCAGGTAACATAAACGATTCTAACGATTCAATGAGTTCGAATTTCGAAACGAATCAAAATTGCACCGACTTTCATGGAATTCTATCGATTTTTGAAACTGATTTACTGGATTTTTTGTAAGCAGGAGAGAAGAGCGTTTCTGTTCTGCAAAGAAGACAGAGCGATCCTCTGCAGAGAATGTGATATTTCGATTCACAGAGCAAACGAACACACACAATATCACGATCGATTTCTTCTCGCCGGCGTTAAGTTATCGGATTCATCTTCCTGTTACGATAAGTCATCGGATCAAGCTTTATGTTCTTCTAACTCAAACGGATATAGCGAAATCGATAGCAGAAAAAGCTCCATTGTTTCCGAGGATCAAAACGCTAGATCAGCGAAATATTTCACATCCGTAAATGATCATTGTGACGGTGCAAGCCGCGAAGAAGGTGCTTCAATGGCGGCCAGTAGCATATCGCAGTATTTAATGGAGACATTACCGGGATGGCATGTTGAAGAGTTTCTAGATCCTTCTGCTTCCCATCCCTACGGCTTCTATGACGTTCGTAACATCCACAAACTTTTATCACATTACCATGAAATTAACAAAAATAGTCGTTTCAGTTTACTTCTTAGTCATTTTTTCTTCGAAAATTTCCAAACAAATCGTTACCTCCGTAAGTAGCAACTTCTCAATTTACGGAGGGGTTAAAAAGCAAAACAAAGAAATCTCTAAACATGATCCATAAGTACAAGGACCAAATCTGTAAATTAGTCTAAATACTTCATGCGGAATTGCTACTTGCGAATCCAGACTAATTTATAGATCTGGTTTCCCTATACTGGCGGACCATGTTCATATTTTTTATACTTTTTGACTCCTCCACACGATGAAGAATTGCTGCGTAATGACTTTTTTTTTAAATGGTTATTTCTATTAATTTCTCGTTGAACATTGGATTTGTTTTTGTTTATTAAATTCAAAAAGGGTTCGAAGATTCTAAAAGTATGAATGATGTTGTAACAGGGTTATGACAGTGGTACATTGCCGTTTATGACACATGATTCTAACAACAGTAGAGATTTATGGTCAGAAGATCTGGGAATTTTCTTAAATTCATCATCATCATCATCATCCTCCATGGATCATCAAATATCAAAAACAAGAAGCTTATCAAAGAGAGTGTTCTTGGATGAAGTGGAGAGTTTGAAGAAATTGAATAAAGACCAACACACATTCAAGCCTTCATCTATAAAGAGACCAAGACAAGACCAATTATGGTAGAGTGGACTTCTTCTCCAAAACCTAAAACTTTATTTCCCATTTTTTTTATAAACCGAAACAAAAGGATTTAATGAATTTCACCCGGATACAAAGTAAGGTTTGAAAACTGTAAGATTGGTTTGTGACTTTACTTTTTTCTTTTCTGTAATAACCTATGCAAGAAATAGAATTTTATGTATGATTTGAAGTAAAACGAATTTTGAAGTCATGATTTTTAAAGTTTCAACGTTTAAATATTTGATGATTTCTCTTTATTTATGTTTCAAAACTTGATCGATGTCGGTCAAGGTATATAAAAGCAAATTCTTTTTTGTGTATTAATGGCATTGGGTTCGTTGTGTCGAGACATCCAAAATTGTTGTCTTATTCGACCAAACGTATGAATTTGGTCCAGGATAAGTTTTGTTGTACTGAGAACTTTAAGGATACAAAAATTTCCATATATTACATGGTTGGTCCTAAATTAATTTTTATCTTTAGTTTTTATAAACTGGTTCTTAATAGTCCGGTTAGCCAAAACTAGGTCGGGTCCTAGATTGACGATTCGGTCCAAGGCCTTATTTACTGTAACCGGTCACTGGTAGTTTATAACTGGTTTTAGATGGGTCTTAGATTTAACATACGAGTTTCAAAGATTTTGCACATCAAGTAGAAGATATACATAAAAAAACAAGAAAAACACTGACTTTAAAACAATTCGAGCTAAATATTTTTACGTTGAAAAACCCTAAAATGTGGTTCTTTTGTGGGGTGTCAATATTTTTTTTGCTTAAATATTATTTAGGAAAAATCAGGGTTTCTAAAAAATTTACGAAGACGAATTCTCAAGTATAGGAATGCAAGGTTGGAGGCCAAAATTTTGTACCTTTTGGGATGAAAACGTAATGAAGAAAAGGTTGTTGTACCCAACCATCAACTAAACATTAACGACATTGTATGTTTAAGAATAAATCATTGAAATACGAAAATGATCATGTATTTTGAGCTTTTCAGATTTGAACATAAATAAAACAATTCAAATGTTGAAAAGAAAAGGACATCATGATTCATTGTAACTCAACTGTGACGGCTTATTGCTTCTTGATTTAAAGATATAGAATATGACTTTAAAGTGTTCCTACTGAATGCGATTTCTGATCCAACTTCAACATCTAGCTTATGAAGTTGCAGGGGAGAGAACTCTCCTGTACATTTATTGTGACTTTGTACGTGACTTGGGGTTCGTTTAACAAGTTACCGAGAACTCATAATAAATCAGACGAGATCTTGTACGCAACATGGTCATTTACCCTTTAACGTCACATACATCTCTTCTGGAAGACCAAGCGACATCAGACTTAGAAGTTGCCTACAATGCCAGACATGTTTTGTTGCATTTAAGTAAAAGGGGGTTGATTAAGATATTTACTAACACTAATTATACAAATAAAAAAAATATAATTAAAAAAACCAACAATATCTCACTTTCGATTGTGATGCAAACACTATCATTGATTCCTATAATGCAAAATGGTAAAACAAGCCCAAATTGACTATAGTTGTCAACAAGCTATGACAACATTGATTTTTCCTTGGATATATATTGATTAAAACAAGTTTTTTAATCAAATTTAACCCCAAATGGGAATTTGAACAAGCTCTCAAATTCACAAACGTAGTCAGCATTAACGAGTTAGTAAAAACACCAATCCGAAGCAATAAGCTCACATGCTCGGCTTATTAGAGCATCAATTGCAAGAATTTAAATTATCAAATTGAAAACTTATTGAGACCAAATGATTTCAATCGCCAATTTATCAAAATCCCTAAACAATTACATATCTAGGGTTCTGAATAGCTATTTTCCAAAAGAACATCAATTAATTGATCAAATTAAGTGATAACTCAAATGAAAATGACATTCATTTAGAAATCAAGCAAATAAACTTGTTTACAACATCTTACAAAGGCCTAAATTATGTTTCTATAAGTCTAATCCAAGTTTAATGTTTTTATAACCCTTGCATGGTCTTTCTATTTTGCCTTTCATATAGAAATCAAGCAAATAAACTTGTTCACAGCCATTTTTCCTCTCGTTTTCTCATCCGTTTCTTGCACCGATCAACATAAAACTTGGATCAGACTTATAAAGACATAATTTAGGGCTGTTAAAAGTATAAAAGTAGAGATTTTGAGCTTATAAACACATAGTAGAACATGAAAATTTGACGCTAACAATTTTAATACCATGTTTACTATACAAAAAAACAAATTCGGATTTATGATATCTATAATTGGAACTTTATTATTTGTTGAACATTGTTATTGAGAGAGAAAGTTGTTAGTTGATTGACTTGTTACAAAAGAATTGGCATGCTTGAGATTTAATCATCCTCCCAAATCCATCTTCTATATTGGTTGAGTTGGTATGTGGAGAAAATGGAACTCCTTTTTAGCACGTACATACAATTTTCAGTATAGAATAACGGTATTTTAACCATGTAACACGGGAATATGATTTATCGTTAAGGAAATCTGACAGCATATTTTAGTACGTATGGTTGATCACTATCCAGACCCATTCTTCAATAAAATGCATGCACACACCATAAAGTGAGGAATTAGGATGGGTAACGTCAAAAGGATAGATTGGTTATTATTCCTCTTTAATCTCTTCCCTCACTTTCTGCCCAGTCCTTTACACATATGTTTATTAAAATACCAAATCATTGGGCACCCCATTTTGGGATGATGCCAATTGCCAAATTGCCAATTATCATGTAAAAGTCTTGTCTTATTTTACTAACCATACCTTTTCAACACACCACCTACATACACCATCAAAGAATTGACACCTACCACCATTCATCAATCTCCTGCAACCAAAACATAGAAATATCAACATCATTCTCTATGGATTTTGAAGGAATTCTAATGGATAATTCCTTTTACCAAACTCCAATTCTATGTTTGGTTCACATATAGAAAACATAGGAATCCTTTGAATTCCTTGGATTAACAATTCCATCCAACCAAACACATGGTCAAATTCCATCAGTTTTATTGCGATTCCTTCAAAGTCAAATTCCTTGCTATGTCTGTTTAATTTGGTTTAACGGAATATTTTCGAGGGATTTGAATTTCATGAAAAGATGGAATTGGGGGGATCTGTTTGTTGGAAGTGACCGTTGCACATAAAATAATTCGTCAAATAAAGCTGTTCGGATAATCAGGAGCTGCACATGTGGTTTACCTATTCGTCAAATAGAGCGAATCACTTATCAAGAGAGAGAGAGAAAACATCAAAAATGAATGACGATAAGATCAAAGTGCCTGTCTTTGATGGCCACTATGAGCATTGGAGTGAGTTAATGGAGAATTTGCTGCGTGCAAAACAGATGTGGAACCTGATTGATCCAGGAATTAGAGAACCGGCGGTCGGAATTGCTCAAAGTGAAGCTGAGAAGAAGAAGTTGGAGGAATTGCGGGTGAAAGATTTACAAGTGAAGCATTACTTGTACCAAGCAATTGATCGAATTACGTTTGAGMAAATCCTGGATAGAAAGACATCCAAATCGGTGTGGGACTCCATGAAGCAACGTTTTGCTGGTAATGCAAGGGTGAAGAGATCGATGTTACAAAAGCTTCGACGTGATTTCGAAGTCCTGGAGATGAAGAACGACGAAACCATTCTCGATTATTTTGGAAGAGTCCTGACGGTGTCGAATCAGATCAGAAGCAATGGAGAGATGATAGCTGACGTCAAGATAGTTGAAAAAATCCTCAGAACCCTAACAGACAAATACATATATGTAGTTGTCTCAATTGAGGAATCAAGGGATGTTGAGCAGATGACCATTGAAGAATTACAGAGCACTTTGGTGGTTCACGAGCAGAAGTTCAAAAGGAGTGAGAGAGAAGATGATCAAGCACTGAAAATTGAAGCAAATTCTTTCAGTCCAAATAGACGTGGTAGAGGAAGAGGACGTGGTGGAAATAGAGGAAGAGGTCGAGGTCGAGGGCAATTATCATTCAATAAGGAAACGATTGAATGTTATAAATGTCATAAATTGGGGCATTACTCCTACGAATGTCCTGAGTCCAAAGAAGCCAACTACGCCGGGTTTGATGAGAATGAAGAGGTGATGCTTATGGCTGAAATAGATGAGTCTGTGTTCATGGCTGATGCAAGTGGAGAAAACACAGGCATGCTTTGGTTCTTGGATTCAGGTTGCTCCAATCATATGTGTGGAAACAAGAACAGGTTTGTCGAATTTAACTCTGAATTCTCAAACACTGTGAAACTGGGAAACAACACAAAGATGACGGTAAATGGAAAAGGAAGTGTAAAGTTGGTCCTGCATAGATCAACATTTGTAATAAATGATGTGTACTACGTGCCAGATCTCAAAAACAATCTCCTTAGTATCGGACAATTTCAGCGAAAAGGCTTGTCTTTTCTTTTTCAACTAAATATGTGCAAAGTGTTTCATCAAGAAAAAGGTCTGATCTTTCAGAGCTATATGAGCAGCAACCGTATGTTTCCAGTTARTGAAGAATTAGAAGAAGTTACTGATCAGAAAGGAGATGGGTGTTTGTATACAAGTAATGAAGACAATGCCCAGCTATGGCATGAAAGAATGGGTCACCTTGGCAATACCAGCATGGAACTTCTTCAAGTAAAAGACATGGTACGTAATCTTCCYAGTTTTGCTGTTAATAAAAYTGTTTGTGAGCAATGCATGGTTGGCAAACAAACAAAAAATGCTATCCCAAAAAGGAGCAGCTGGAGGGCAGAAGGAATACTGGATCTGGTGCACTCAGATATTTGTGGACCCATTACTCCTACATCTCACACAGGWAATAGGTATTTTCTGAGCTTTATAGATGACTATAGTCGTAAAGCTTGGGTGTATCTATTGTCTGAAAAGTCACAGGCTTTCGAAAGTTTCAAACAATTCAAAAAGAAGGTGGAGGTTGAAACAGGACGAATGGTTAAAGCCCTCAGGACAGATAGAGGAGGAGAATACATGTCTGATGCTTTTAAGACTTTTTGCTCAGAGTATGGTATTAAAAGACAGCTCACCACCAGTTTCACTCCCCAGCAAAACGGGGTTGCTGAAAGGAAAAACAGAACTGTCATAAACATGGTGGTATCTATGATCGCAGCAAAAAACATGCCAAAGAAATTCTGGGGAGAAGCAACTGTTTGGAGTTTTTATGTATTGAACAGGTGTCCAACCAAGGCTCTCACAAACATGACACCACAAGAGGCTTGGAGTGGAGTCAAGCCAACTGTTGATCACTTTAGAGTATGGGGTTGTCTTGCTCATGTCCATATTCCAAAACAGAAGAGAACCAAGCTTGATGATAAAAGTTTTGTGTGCATTCTAACTGGAGTAAGTGAAGAATCAAAAGCCTACAGATTGGTTGACCCACACACACTCAAGGTCGTAGTCAGTAAGGATGTGGTCTTTGAAGAACACAAGTCATGGTGTTGGAATGTTGATAAAGAAGGGAAGGAAAAAAATGAGATTATATGGGGAGATTATGACTTTACTGAAGATGACTATGTGAATGATCAAAATGAGGAGCCTGAACAGGAAGAGGATGCAGATCAAGCCTTGAGTCCGGTAGTTGCTGAACAAAATGTTGGGGTTGGAAGTTCAGGACTCGGGGAAGGAAGACCTCAAAGAACAAGAAGACCACCTGCCTACTTAAGTGACTACTTTACTGGAGATGATGACGAATTGGATTCTGATGGTAATGAGATGATGTTCACAGATCTCATACATCAGGATCCARTTTATTATGAAGATGCAGCCCAAGATGATAGGTGGAAAAAAGCAATGGATCTCGAAATCCTTGCTATTGAAAGAAATCAAACGTGGCAGTTGGTAGATCTGCCAGCAAACACTAAATGCATTGGGGTGAAATGGATCTTYAAAACCAAGCTAAATGAAAAGGGAGAAGTAGAGAAGCATAAAGCCAGGTTGGTCGCGAGAGGTTATGGTCAGGAGTATGGTGTTGACTATGTAGAAGTGTTTGCTCCCGTTGCAAGAATGGATACCATTCGGCTGATGATTGCTATAGCTGCTCAAAAGGGTTGGAGCATCTACCAGATGGATGTAAAATCAGCTTTTCTTCATGGAAAGCTGGAGGAAGATGTGTACGTGCAACAGCCACAAGGGTATGTCAAGAAGAATCAAGAGCATAAAGTGTATAAACTCCACAAGGCTCTATACGGGCTTAAACAAGCTCCTAGAGCTTGGTTTAGTCGTATTGAGACCTATTTTATCAAGGAAGGTTTTGTGAGAAGCTCTTCAGAACATACTCTATTTATCAAAAGAAGATCAGATGGAAGTTTATTAATGGTGAATGTTTATGTGGATGATCTTCTGTATACGGGAAACAATGAAGAAATGTTGAAAGAATTTAACTCTTCAATGAAGGGTGAGTTTGAAATGACGGATTTGGGGAAGATGAAATATTTTCTGGGATTGGAAGTGACGCAGACTGCAAGTGGAATTCACGTGTCTCAGCAAAAGTATGCAGTAGAAATACTTGATCGCTTCAACATGATGAATTGCAATGCTGTGATTAATCCTATGGTTCCAGGTTGTAAGCTGAAAACAGAAGATGGAGAACCCATTGATGAAACACTGTTCAAAAGCCTAGTAGGGTGTCTGATGTATATCACTGCTACAAGGCCTGATATTCAATTTGTTGTAAGCTACATCAGCAGGTTCATGTCTAAGCCCACTGATATTCACTTCGCAGCTGCAAAAAGGGTTTTGAGGTATCTTCAAGGTACTTTGGACTATGGAGTTTGGTACAAGAAAGGTGGAAAGGGTGAAATAGAAGTGTTCACAGACAGTGACTTTGCCGGAGACTGGAATGACCGRAAAAGTACCTCCGGATACTTGGTATTGTGGGATGGAGCTGCAATAGCTTGGTCTTCAAAGAAACAAAGTGTGGTTGCCCTGTCATCTACGGAAGCTGAATATGTTGCAACTGCAGCATGTGCTTGTCATGTGATATGGCTTCGTGGAATGCTTGAGGAAATTGGGATGAAACATGAAGAAGGCACGGTGATTCAATGTGACAACACCTCAACAATTAAACTCTCTAAAAATCCTGTCTTTCGTGGAAGATGCAAGCACATCGGGGTGAAGTTTCACTTCCTACGTGATCTGGTTAGAAAAGGTACTATTGAGTTGAAGCATGTTGGGACAAAGGATCAAGTTGCCGATATCTTGACTAAACCACTGCATCGAGATAACTTTGTGAAGATAAGAAAAAGGCTTGGAGTATGTTCGATGGATGACAAACTGAACATGAATGTTTAGTTTGGGGGAAGGTTTGTTGGAAGTGACCGTTGCACATAAAATAATTCGTCAAATAAAGCTGTTTGGATAATCAGGAGCTGCACATGTGGTTTACCTATTCCTTAGCTATTTTTTCCTAGTCTTTAGCTGCTTATGTTTTTCAATTTAGTCCTTCCTTATTGTTCGTATTTTCTGTTATTCCTTTATGTATTTAAAAGGCCTTCGTGCTCATCAATGAAATCATTCAATCTTGAGAGCAATTACCAGTGTTTAGCATATTACTGGAGTCTTTAGTTGTAGAATTTGGAATGTAGTTCAATTCCATTCTTTATAAATAATATATAAAAACAAATTATTAAAAAATATAATAATAATTATAAATTACTCTTTTATGAAGTGTTTATCATTACAAACAAATCATATGAAATCCCACAAAAGACCAACCACCCCGTGGGATTTCCAAATCCCATGTCTGTGGGAATGAAATCCCGAGATTTCAATTCTGGACTTTCCTTTTCAAACCAAACGTGGGATTGGAACGGAATCCAATTCCAAATCACATGAAATTCCGCAAACCAAACGAACCCTTACTTTCCAACCAAGTGCTTAAATCTATAAAATAACAAGAGAAGCTTGACATACCTTTTTAATATCAAGAAGTGAAAGCAAAAATTCTATCTGCGATCTTGGTCCGGCAGATCGGACACTCGGAACATGCAAGAGAACAGGATTTACACACTGCAAGAAAAGGTAGGTATATTAATACACCCCCTATCAATTTAATGGGGAGTTATACAAGTAGAGCATTGATATCTAAATGTAACTTACGACTAAAATGTCGGCAAGGGAGAAGCATTGCAGCAGTCGGTGACTCAAAACATACTTTACATACATGTAAATTTGCATCCCCATTCACCTCCTTCTCCTTCATCTCTTGCATTCGGGCCTGAAACACACATGTTAACCATGAAAAACCTATGGAACCCACATTCATATAGAATTTTAAAACTTTAAGGGCTGTTTGGTTGGTTTTTCATTAAGTTCTCTATAGAGAAAATTGTCTGTGTGGATTAATCTGTTTATATAGATTGGGAAAGTTTTTGTTTGGGAGGGTTTTTTCATAGCTCCAAGAAACGTGTTTTTTAATTGGAAGAGGCAGGTTTGGTAAAAGAAACTTGGCTTTCTACATAAAGCTTCCCCTAAAAGCTTACTGAATAAGTCACTTTCTATAGCATTAAGCCACTATCAAACAGTTACGCATAGCTGATAGAATAATCTGTGAGTCCCATTAAGTTCATTAAGCTGCTAACAGACCCTAAATCTGTTATGATAGAATTATTACCTTCAAACGAGCAACATGGGGATCTTCCTTTGGCATGTCGTGAGCTATCTGTGGAACACTTAAAACTTGCCGCTCTTTTAGAACTGAATTGGTGTGGTTAACAGTAGTACGTCTTCCAATAATGTTTGTTTCAGGAACTGCTCGTCCCCCTGCTGCCTCTTTTTTCAGTTGAGCAACAAGAACCCACATGTTTGCCAAATCGTTTTCCAAAGCCGATTCCCTTTTCTTTGCCTCATCAAATTTTTTCTGGTATTCATCTTCTATCATTTCTTTCTCAGCTAAGGCAGCTTCAAGGCTTGCCTCCTGCTGTTTCCTGGCCTGCAACTCTCTTCTCAGATCTTCAGAGTGGAAGACATTGTTGAAACCATTCACTTGATCTGAGTGTCTTCCTTTCCGATCACCATACTTGCGGTTACCACCTGAGTTCACCAACTCACGAGCAGCTACCAATTCCTTTTCGAGTTTTGCGTTCTGTAGTGAAAGTTTGGTGACCTCACCTGCCAAATTCTTTAGTTCAACAGCAGCGGCAGAAGCCAATTCCTTGGCGTAAGAAGCTTCCTCCGACAGTTTCTGATTCTGCACACATAATCCACTCTTCTCCTCTAAAACCTGAACATGTTCTAGCTTTAATTTTTCGTTCTCCATCACCTGTCCAAGAAAAAGAAAAAAACCACTAAATTTAGCGCACCATTGGGGGTGCTCCAAGACCCGACCAACCCAACCCGAAGCAACCTGATGTTCAATTGAGTTGTCAAATCTTCAAACTTAAAGTCATTTGAACCCCACATAACCCGATGGACCCGATATCCTTTTATTTTTTGGATTTAATATGATTGTTAAGTCGATATTAATACGTACATTTAGACAATTACACAAGCACCCACCCTCTTCATATACATATATTTTTAAGCTCTTCTCCATCTCTATATAACTCCTTCATATATATGTTTAGTAAATGTGAACATATATATACAAATTGAGAAAAGTAGTTGAATGTGATGTACTTGAGATTTAAGGAGTATGGATAAGTTGTACCAAATGACAATGAAAAAGGAATTATGAGTACAGAAAACAAGATATCACAGTATCAAACCCGACCAAGTCATACGGTTTGGGTTTGGTTGGGTTGCACTTTGGTGGGGGTTGAATTGGGTTGGGTTGTTCAAAATGCCTTCAACCCAATCCAACCCATGATCAACCTACGCACCATATTGCTTCTTCCAACACTAAACTAGAAGCCAGTAAGTTTAATCACCTGAATTTGAATTTTCATCTGTAGCTCGTCAATGTATTCTTTGGATCCTTGCTGTTTAGAAGATAGCAATGGTTTCTCACTACAGGCCGCAGCTAGTTGTTGTTCAAGCAATGTTATTCTCTCCTGCAGTTCCTTATTTTCAGAACACTGCAATAGAATGCAGAGTAAATCAATTTTAGCAATGTGAATGTCTTCAAGCAAACAGAACGAAAATAATACACATTTTGCAATATTATCCAAATACCTTATTTTGCAGCTGTTCCTGTAGGATGCGGTTGTCTGCTGACTTGATCTGAAATCACAGAAAAAAATTAAATAATAATTATAATCAACTATTAGATTGGTGTATAATTTCACATCCATGTAATACAAAATCAAACCTTCAAATTCTTCTACCTAAATTGGGAAAACATTACATTTATTAATACAATTAAACATAAAGAAATCACTATACAAACCTCTAGCTCAAAATCTTTTTCATCACATTGGGTCATCAATCTCATCATTGCCTGATGTAAAAGAAAGAAACATTAACAAATATACAAATGATTGTGTAAATATTACAACTTTTACAGAAGATGAAAAGAAAAATAAATAAAGAACGAATGAAAGATTACCTGCTGCATATCAACCAATGATGTACTAGAAATTGAAGCTTGATTACTTTCAATAATCTGTTTCTCCAAGACCCTCATTTGCCTTCTCTTTTCTTCAATTTCAAGTTGCAAGTTATCTATCTGTGTACAACATGCATCCATAATCAGAGCCTAAAACTCTAGAAAAGTAGTAGACTAGGAAGATACAAGAGAACTAAGTTCAAAAATCAAAATGCACATAGTGATACGAACTGGCTCTCTTATAAAAGTGAACCGATAAGATATAGAATGGTTTGAACACAAGACAACTACACAACAAACTAATCACACTCAAAATTCTATCATACACCATTATTATATTCTCCATACATATGATAGCATCATGAACAATTTATTTCCATGACTCAAATTGAAATTAACCGCCGTAAGCATATTATATTTAGATAGAGCAAGAAAGCCATACTTGAGTTTTAGAGCTCTGAGGATTATCTGCTGACTGCTCCATCAAGCGTTTCATAGTACTTGTACCAAATGCTATCTCTCCTGCAAGCATCTTAACTTGCTCCACTAGTAGGTCCATCTGATCTAATGAAATTCCACCCTATAATAAAATAAAACATCATTCTTATCGAAAGCGATATTAAGGTTACATAGGTTGAAAAGAAGATTCCTTCTCAAAAGCAAAACCAACGCAATGTCATATCACTTCAAGAGAGTAATCCAGCACAACTAATAAATAAGCCAAAGCTTCACCACAGTGCAAAAGTTTGCTATAAAGTCCCTTATGCATAAATGAATGATCTACCGATGTATAACAGTATGTTCAGAAAAAACCAAACGCCAAAATCTTTCTTGCAACTATTTCTGAAAAAGTTCTCAATGCATGATGTGTATTCTTAGTATTCAAGCAAAGACGTTCTATATGGGTATAAGCAGTAAGCCTAACACTGCCTAAGCTGTAAGCAGCTGTTTAGAGCTACAGTTGTCTGGGAATATAGCATCGAGAGTTGAAGCATAAATCACTGCTAAATATAAAAACGACAATTGGCTGAACTAGTTGGGTACAGATAAGGAACGGATTGATAGAAAGACATGAAACCTACCGCCAGCAGCTTTGCACCACCAGAAGAACCATTGACAATTTCACCCGCATGAGTTGATTCCATGATAGTGCTACCTGTTGCTGATAAATTGCTGGAATTTCTTCTGTGTTTGAGTTCATAAGATACTTCTGATGGAGTCTCAACTAGATTGTCACTTCGCAAGAGCAGGGAACCATTCTGAAACAATTGACAACCACAAAAGAGTCATGGAGCTCAAGTCTAGCAGATCAAAATCTAAGGAAGTTTGATTCCAGAACAGAGGCACACAAGATGAAAATAACCGCAGATTTTATAGGACATTTGAACAGCAATTTGCATAACATGAATTCCATACCAACAAATACTTTATGAACTAGCTAAAACTAAGCAGTTCACATTGTGACCTAATATTTAAATTCATGCCAGAAAGTTAAAGAAGGTGAATGAATAGAATAGTGAATCATATCTTAAAAATAAGAGATAAATTGTGAATGATTAACCTACATCATCCGCATTAGCAGAAAGATCCCGTTGATGATCAGATACATCAGTCAGCCCAGCGACTTTATTTTTGGAGGAAACAAGTATTAGCTTTGTTAGCCTTTGAATTCTGCTCATTAGAGCCGCCTTGGCTTCTTCCTCTTCCTCCAAACGTGATTGCATCTTCACTTGTCCTTCTTCTAGCTATTACACATAATATCTTATGTTAAAGTTAACATACGATTAGTAATACCAGCACTAATGGTATTACAAATCTACCAGTACTAAAAAAGTGTTTGCTAGGAAAATTAGCAATCTTGCACTTATAAACCAGGGGACCCATGCAGAGAATAAAAGACATTGCACCTTTTGTTTTAAGGTCATTATCTCCTCTGGATTGACAAGCATCCCTCTCTTAAGTTGATCAAGCTCTTGTTTGAGGACGGATATTTCTCTTTGGTACTTTTTAATTAAAGACTTCTCATCAATTATCTGAAAAGATCCATGTTTCAAGAGCAAATAACTGTGGATTTGGGATTCACGTTCTCAAAATTTCTGCAAAACCAATCAAATGACGGCATCATAAAGCAAACCTTATTCCGAGAGGCATAAATTTCAACACGTTTTGCCCTGCTTGCAAATTTTAATGTATTGTGGGTCTCCTCCATGTTACTAGATGCCGGAGTAATGGTACAGATAAGCTGGTAAGAGGAGAAAAATAGAAGTACATGTCACATTTTTAGCATAGATTTATTATCTCTGATGAAAGCCGTGTAAATTTTAAGTTTGAAGGGGGTGAAGAGGAGTAAAAGGGCGACCCCATGCACCAAAGCTCCTCAGCCATGCAAGGATTGGAGAGGGAAGTCTTTGTAAGCAGCCAGCACAAAGAGGCTGTTTCTGTACTTGACCCGTGAGGCCGTGACCTTCTGGTCAAAAGGAGTAACTCAAAGGGTCACCTCCGAATGAGAGAGGAGTAAGAAACAAAAGCCTGCAAATATTAGATTGGTTTATATATCTAACTTTTATCACCAAGATACTCCAACACTTACTGAAACATGTCCATTGCCACTCAATGATGACTGTAGAAGGCGGGTAAGCTTGGAATCTCTATATGGAACATGAGATGCCTTCCCCTCACTTAGCTTACCAATAACCTGTAAGTCCAGTTGAAATGAATGACGAAATGGCCTATGTCGAAGCAATCAAAATAAATGGATATGACTGTCAACTACCAACGTACTATTAACAGTCTTTTCACAAATTGTTAACTTTATAAGGTCATTACTCATTACACATGCTGCCATCAGTTCATCCCAATAAGCTTACATATAATCATGATCATGATAATGAGAATTTTAGGGGCGTTAATGAGTCGAGCTTTTAATGAGCAACTCGAGCTCGACCTGATCTCGATCCGAGCTTAACAATTGTCAAGCTCGAGCACACACTAAAACATGTTTAACTTAATGAGTCGAGCTCCATAACACCAATGTTCGACTCCGCTCGACCAGAAGCTCGATTAAACTTTTTGAGTCGAGCCGAGCCATTCGAGCATACACTTTTCTCGAGCCAAACGTTTCATATGTTCATAAATCATATAATTGCTTCGACCTGACGTTAAAGTGGATGAGAACAAGAGGTTAGTAAATCAAGCAAGTTTTAATTTCAAAAAAATTAGGTCGTTCCCATACACGAGCTAACTGATCACAAGTTCAAACCCGTACACGAGTATCGAGCTCGAGCTCAAACATTGAAAAAATATTTGAACTCAAGCTCGAGCCCTACGTTGAAAAAGTTAGTCGAGCTTGAGCATGGTAAATTTTTCGAACGGAGCTCGAATAACCTACAACTCGACTCGTTAACACCCTACATAAGACTTCAATTGTAGTATACAAATTTAAGGTGGTAAATACCAAACAAATTAACTCAGTATATAGCACTCAGAGATGGGGTCTGAGGAGGCTGAGATGTACGCATACCGCACCTCTATTCCAAAGAGTAGAGCAGTTGTTTCCCTCGACTCGTGGAAATGTGTATGTTAGAGAAAATGAATTTGACCATGTTTTACAGAAAGGTGGTTGATGAGACTATTGCTATCATTTAAGCAGGTAATTACCAAATCTTACAACCGAATCATACTTTACAAAATTTCCAGCAGTATCCGTGAAGGAATATGATCACTTACAGTTCCAAGGGTTAGAAGACTTTTGTTTATGTAAGATCCTTCCTTTCTCCTCAGTCCAGTTGTTTCAGCTTTTGAACTCTCTGATCCCGCAAGATCAATTAGATTCTAGAACAAAGGGAGAAATGATAGTATTAATGATTTAATCCATGCAGAAAATATATTAAGAATCAATATTTCATACAAGTTGAGAGAATGTCACTCCGTCATACTCATCGCCATGGGCGCTACTTTCAATCATCTGCAAGTCCAAGTATACGTTAGAAATGGCTGTGTATAGTTTTTGAAACAACTATAAAGAGACAGTAACTTGTTAAATTAAAACAAAAGCAACAACTGATCTGGTTGAGGGAGTATCAGCGAACAAATGGGTAGGGGGCACATGGAAAAACAAGAGAAGTACAAATCCTTGGGTATTACTGCTCTATAAAAGCATAGGCTTATTATTCCAAACTACAAGTACATGTTGTTAGGCCCAGCCATCGTGAGATTGTATCTAGGGTTAATTATTAAATTAGGTAATTATATTTTGTTCCAAATTCCAATAATGAAGCAACTCTATAAACAGGGATTAGAAGAGGTTGATTATCATGCTTGAATTGATTTGATAAAGATTTTAAGATTGGATTAGGCATAACTGGAGAGATGGCCAACCTCTCAAACAGTGGCCAACCTTTTGGTCATTTACTAGTTATGGTTATTTGATAGGTTTGTTTGGTTCTCCTCACATATTTCCATAGAGTGGTCCATGAAAAGTAATGCAAAACAGTCACAAGACCTAGTTAGTTTTTCCTCTTGCCAGAGTTTGCTACTAAAAACCTAACGTCGGCCCTTCTCTAGCAAGTCTATCATAAAAACTTGGAAGTTAGTTACAAAGAACAGAATGCACCTGTTGAAAACATCCTATGATATTCTAGTTTTATGGACATCATTAACCTTCATGAAGTGAGCATAATCTGTGTCTATCCCTTTCTAAATTAATAGGCTACCTCGGTTAACAAAACCATTTTTTGTTATTTCCATGAATAGGGCTAAGCTTCCCATTCTCTTCATACCGTCAAATGCTTCCACTAGGTTTACATAGACAAAGAAGGATGCGGTTGAGAAATCTATAACACAGCACTAATGTATAATATGAATATATGATACAATCTTAATATTATATTATTCATAGTAAATTAAATGTCTAGAAGAGATGGTGACTTGACAAAACAAATTAATCTTTGTGAATTCTGATCATAAATTATGTTTACAAATTCACTTTCCTTATCAGAACACAACAAATGACACCATATTTCAGTTCTAACTCAGCATTGCAATGCCTTAGTGAGCCAATGATACTCCAAGTGAAATAAAAGCACATGCATAAAGAAGTTCTAGGGATAACTAATGAACTTCACATAAAAATACGTACCAGGGTAAAGATTGTGTGACTACGGCTGCTAAACAGATTAAAATTATTTGAACCAACATGCCGGTGCTCTGCAAACAAAAAGCATTTAGAAAAGAAGTTGGGGAGTATATATAGAAGCATGTATTTTACACACGCAGGCGGACTCAGTAGTACCTTCACCAGAAGCAATAAAAGAAAGGGCATGCCCAGGAGATAACACGACTTCTTCCTTTACGCCTTCAACATATGTACCCTGGAATGAATAAGTAGCATGGTCAGAACGCTATAGAAAGCTATCCCTATAAAATAAGATAAGAAAAAATATCAAATTTACAAGACAATTTACCATTAACAACTAGATTGAGCTACAACAAAAATAGATGTCATAAAATTTAATAATTGTATATACCCTTTCTTGGTTGATGTGTGTTTTTATTAAAGAAATAAGGAGTCAAGAAAAAAATAACAAATACTAAATGATGAAAGCGAAAGACAAGAAATCAGATGTGAAGTTACTGCAGAAACCTGTGCATCTTCTCGAACACGAAGATTTTGTCCTGTTGGATCAAGCAAATCATTGATCACCTAAGATAAGAAGCATAAGTACCATGAGGAATCAAATAAATTCACATCGGACATCCATTGTGATGTTCAAGGACAAATACAGCAACAATGGGCATGGTCAGAGGAGACCAAAATCGTACAAGTATAATTTGTAAGGGCATAAACATAAGACAAAACACAGACAATGGCCCTTGTTCTCAATAGCATATGGCATTACCTTCCATGAGATCCAAGTGTGCACTAACCTCATTATATATCTCAAGATACGACACCCTCAGCAAAAACTCCCTTCCTGGCATCTGAAAAGTGAAGTTAACGATTTAATTACAGATAAACATAAACCATGGTATGATGGTAATGAAACATTGATAGAAATCAAGACATACAATAAACTGCCAAGTTTATGTTATGATACTAAACCAAGACAAATATTATACGGAAGTCCGCAGTTACAAATGTTGCACTTCAAATACTGAATAAAAGTTTTCTGGTAATACTTACATCCTGAATAATGCTGAAAACGTCCTTTATTGCCAATGGTATTATTCCCGGAGAGTTACAATCACCCTGTGAAGATAATCAATAATTCAGTTTTATACAACATTTATAAGCATAGAGAAACTAAAATAAATGTGATGCATTTATCAAAAACATGAAACGGAAGCAACCATTTACATCCAAGATAATTTCATTTTTATCATACTCCTTCCATCCAAAATCAAATGGCTTTCACTTCATTATTTTGAGACAGCTAGTTGTAAGGAGATCAACCATCATAAGATGAGAAGGGAAAATCTTTAGGCAATTCTGATAGTGGAAGGGAAGAACAGATGGGTATACCAAGAATCAATCTTACTTGAAACTATCTAGCTATTATATGAACAGAGCAATCACTGCTAGTTTAATTTCTAACTCCCTGTGACAGGTTTCCCAGATAGCTCTGATCTGAGAAGCATAGATAAAGCCGCCCTTAAACATCTAGCTCTCGAGCATCTTGCTAACATTGAATTTTGTCATTTAAGTAATCCTCAAGAAGTACTATCACTTCTGCATAAATTGATCAGACCTCGTTTACAGTTCCTTACAGGCTCCAGGATTTTGAACCATAAGAGGGTGTCTCATCTGCTGCTGGTTATCCGTTAGCAGCAAAATGTATTCTTCACTACAGAAAGGTTAGAAGCATAGGATTCATTCTGGATGATGCCTAAGTTTCTGTCAAAATGAACGGCAACACAGGGATCACCCTGTGCTCCTAGTCTGATGTTTTGTATATATTTTGAAAGCTAGATAGCATCAATAATTTACTAGTGAAATGATCAGCTTATGAAACATGCAAACAACACTTCTCATCAGTCACCATGGCTGTCAGGAACCAGCCTTGCATGTGCCAGCAGTAGCACATCATTATAGAACTACAGTTGAAGGCGATGCATTCCAAGTCATGTTAGAAAGGACATTAACAAAAATATACAATTTAAGAGCGAGCAAGAAAACGATAGTCAAAATTGTGCTTCACTGCTATATATGATAAGCATTAGTCATTTTGGATTTCTTTTTGCTAGATACTATAATAGTTATGAGCAATGAAAACAAATTTCTACAAACAGCGTGCCACGGAAAAACAAGAACCATGTAACTTTTTGACCAAAACATGGTCTTTTACGATTCCAGAACAGTTATTACTGCATGCTGATTGCACGCATGATCCAGTAAGCACACCGCAAAATTTTCTTATTCATCTGCCCTCTTAGGATGCAACAGAAGTCATAATTCCAGACCCTTTAAAAATGATTCATATCACTTAAGTTAGACACCATACTTACATGCATTGTATGTGTTTTCCCACTACTTGTCACTCCATAGGCAAATACAGTTCCTGCATCAGCTCCAACAATCATTATTTTGCTCAAGCAACTGTAGATCAAGATAGTTAGTGAACTATCAAGGAATTAGAACCATATAATTACAATTTGATCTAGTTAGCCGCACCGTTTACCCCTTCCATAGCAGCCTTCACAACAGGCCTGGCAGCTACTTCATACACTTCCTGAGTCGCAGCAGATGATCCAAAAACTCTGTCTGTAATATCGAACAGTAAATGAAAATTTCTAAATTTAACATGAACTACAATATATGATGCCGATGTCGGATCCACTTCAATTTTCGTTGTTTAACAATAAATAAAACAAAAATTCTATACCAAAGGCATATGAAGTCACCGGATTGTACTCATTACGTACGAGTTTACCGCCATCAGCATACCAAGCAATCTCATCTCCTCTCTGATACTCTCGTTCACTACAGCAATACGAATTCAATAAAAACGTTGCCGCATGGTGTTAGAACCCTAAATAGTCCAAAATAACGGCTTCGTATAGATCAAACGTCAAGTCAGCACAGATCTCTAAGTAAATCAAATTACCTCAAAGGCCTAAACCGAATCGTTACGGAAATGCTATCTCCTCCTCCCGACTTTGGGATACTATCAACCGCTTCTTCAATCACCTCGTCGGTGGACGGATAAATGACAGGAGAACGGCCTCCGTAACCTCCTCGGTGATACATCGAGTCGGACTTGGTCCGACTAGGAGTGAAGGATCTGGAACCGTGACCTTTTCCAGAGCCTCCGTAGAATGGCGTGGTTCCAGAAGATGAGCCAGAGCGAGGAATGAGCTGCTTGTAAGACGATGACGACGAGGATGACGAAAAAGGACTCGACGGCTTGCGATGGTGGAATGGTGAACTGCTTCTTCCTCTCGAAGAAGAAGCCGCCATTGATCGATTCAACTTCCTGACCTCAAAAACCAATCGAATTCAACGAAATCTCCAAATGCAAATATGTCAGAGCTTCACATGATGCTTGGAAAGTAAAGCTAAGAATAACATTGTTCGATTTCCCTCCTCAGTGAATGAGAAGCTGCTCTAGATAGAAGAAAACCAATGCGTGTAGAGAGAGAGACTGTATGTGTGCTCCTTCTTCTTCAAGGTGAGAATTGCAGAGGGCAGAGAGAGACAAATCCCTAAAACGATTGAAGATGATGAGTGGGAGGGACTGTGGGAGCCTGAGAGGGATGCAATGAGAACGACGGAAGGATTTTCTTTTAATTTTTTTTAATTTGAATTTCAAATTTAAAGGGTTTAATTTGAGGTTCAAGTGGAAGTGGAAGAAGGTGAATAAACTTACAAAAATGGTCCCTGGAATATTGTTCGTTTTTCAGTTAAGGATGTTATAATTAGAGTAAACTGCAAACTTGGTCCCCGTGGTTTGCTATAAATAACATTTTTCGTCCCTATAGTTTTAAAATAACAAAATAACCATTATAGTTTGTAAAAATGTCCATATTTAATCCCTCTCTCTAATGGTTGTTAAAAAGTTACGTTGAGTGAGATGTCTTTTTTCCCTTTATTGTTTTTTTCCTGTTTTTTACTCACTTAAAAAATACACAAAAAATCATAAAATCGATTTTGATTTGGTAAAAAACAAGAAAAAATATAAAATGACAAAAATGTTTTTTATTTAACGAAATTTTTAACGATCATTAAAATAAAAACTAAATTTGAATAATTTTACAAACTACGATGACCATTTTGTTATTTAGTTATTTCTAACAAATCACAAGGATCATATTTATAGTTTTATAATAATTTATGAACAAACCACCCCCACCCTAAAGCAGATTTTATCCGCTTTTAGGTTAACTCAGTTTTAGCAAATTCCGGTGTTTTTATGGGTTGTTTGTCAGTTGCTAAATGATTTGATGCAGAATGATTAAGAGACTCTTATGATATAATGCAAAATGAAATATAATTGTTTCGTAATTATTTACAATTAGGACGCTGAATGGTTAAGGAAGACCCATAATACAAAATCATTAAGAGGGTTTTAGAACCATTAAGAGATAAACTTTTTTTTGCCAAACAATATTTACCTCTTAACGATTCAGATGCTACCTCTTAATGAAACTATTAAGAGGTAAACAAACAACCCCTAACACGTTATTAATACTCCATGTAAACTTTTAACTCGTTTTTTTTAACAAACGAACGTTTTTCGGGTAAAAAGAACATTTAATGTATTAATGAACAAATTTATTTCGCAATGTATTTACTTGATACGTATATATGTAATTCACGACGTGAAACTTATTTACGTATAACTTTTATTTCACAAACAGACTAAAAAGGTTCACATTATGAAACAAACACATTGTAAAACAAATATATGTTAAAATGATATTTTAAATTTTGGTTCTCAAGGTTATCATAGTTTCACGGATTTTCAAAAGAAAATCCCCCCAAGCATTACGTAACTCATTGAACTATTCAACCTATACATCGCAAGAGAATGCAGATACTAAGAAGCAAGTATTTGGTTACTGGTCTCCCGAGAAGTCAGGGTTTAAATCTTACCAAAAATAAAAAGTGTGGATCAGTATTTTGCCTATATAAACCTTGTATAATTTAAAAGAAGAGAAAAGGAAACTTTCCATTTTTAGGAAGGTGAATCAGTATGGTCATATGAGTCCCTGCTAGCTTGACGCCCATTTCGCCTAAGCATTTCCTTGATTTCTGCCTCTTTCTTATCATAGAAATCCATCAAATCCTTGAAATTAATGGCGCGTGATGATCGTCGATCGCTGCGACTCGCGGAGTCCGGCTCCACGATCTCGTGACCAGCTTCTTCTTCATCGGGATTAAACCGACGGTACTGACACAACATCCGGCAGAAGAAAATGCCGAGCGAAATGAAGCACGTGACGCCGCAAATGAGGAATAGGCCCCAGAAGTTGTTGAGGGAGAGGCTGTTTTCTACGTCATCGTTGTTTTGAGTCGAGCACGAGGCAGAAGACAACCATTTGTCGTGGATTTGTTGCAGATCTCCATTTTCCGAGAGTTGGAGAATGGCTGTCGAGAGGTCGAGTGCTAGAGGAGAGTCTCTTTGGAATGCCTGCAATGCAATTTGAATAAGCTAGCTTATGGCAAATTAGGGGGGGGGTTTCAATAAGCTCGAAAAATAAGCTAACTTATGGTTGTCAAACAGAAGCCTTAATGTTTAAAGGAACTTACGAAACCCCAACCGCTTTTGGTGAACTCTTGGCCAACAATCTTGAACTTGCACTTGGTGTAACGCATGAAGAGCTCGACATACGGAAGCTCGTCAACAATGGCCGCCACGCCGCCGCCTTTAGGACCTAACTGGAGTGCGTTTTCATACTCTTCCTCACCTTTCAATGGTTTGATTCTAGACTCTGCGATATTGAGCTCTCGAATCAAATAATTATACGCAAAAGTTCCATCTTGAACTCCAATCGGGTCGTTACTTGAGATCAAACTATCGATCCCTTCAATATGCGAAGACAGTTGTTGTACCGTGAGGATCGATGTCAAACTGGCTGTGTAGCTCGAATTAATAATCAACACTACAAACAGCCACAAAATGAGAACAAACCGTCCCAACGTGCTCACGGTGTTCTCTCCTGCATACGTATAAATCCGCTTTAAAGTTTGTTCATAAGATTGTCATGGCGCTACAACAAAATCGGTCTTTTAGCCCGTCCACCCGTCATTGGGCATCCTAGTAGAGTATTTAGTGGGTCTTTAAGTTTATAGTATCAACAACTGTGCGTGCTGCTACAATAAGTTGTAAGAACGAAGTTAGGCGACCAAAAGGTATCTATCAATGAATCATACAGAGTCTCTTAATCATTCTGATCACTTAACCATCCTGCATTAAACCATTCAGCAACTGCCAAGCAGCCCCTTAATAGGACGGTTTACTTTTTGTTTTATATTAGGTTGTCCAACTTAGTCGATATAACTTGTTAAGTCGTCTAACTTCGTTCTAACAACTTATTGTAACGCGATTGTATAGGACGCACAGTTGTTGGTCATATAACCTAAAAGTCCCATTGTGTACTCTGCTAAGACGTCAAAAAACGGTTGAGCTTGAGCGTTTTGAAACCCCCTTATTGTAATGTGGTTCAGTCAAGAATTGTACTTACTGTGCGAAAAAAACATCGTTGAAAAGCTAAACCTGAAAATTTCAAGAGAAAACCGTCAATGTCAGGTAAATAGCGGATGACAAAGTCTGTGTACATCTCACCTCATACCCTACTTTCAAGTGGTATATACTGAATTCGTTTGATTTGGTTTTTATCGGTTCAAATGCTTGAATCAAAGAGATACTAACCAGACGATTGTGATGATTTGTTGCCTTGGTGGTCCACGGAACTCGTGGTTCAACCGATGCTCGAGAATCCAAACGACGAATCCAACGAAAAGAAAGAATCCACCGGTGACCACCCACATCTCGACGGTGAACGGCTTGAGAAATGCCCATGGTTTCGGTTTCAGTTCTTTGGCGGCAACAACTATTACGAGCCCGGATTCCATGTACGGCTGCGTAAAGTCAACGATCCTCGTTCGGTTTGTAATGATAGTAACATCTCCAACTGCTGCATCATACTTCTGAGAATTGAAACAAATCAAGAAAATGTTAATTCTCCTACACTTTTGACTTTTTAAGGTCAAAGTTTATCCTTCAAGTAGCCAACTGCTTGTTTTAGCAATTTATCGGTTAGTTTGTCAAACATACGCATAACTTGAAATAAAAAAGAACACCGGCTTTCAAACAAGTACTTACATGTTCTGCAACCGCGTTCACAAGATCGTTGTAGCTCGGGTTTCTTTGACCATCGCCGAATAATACGTACTTTCGAGGGACCGGGTACGGAAGTAAACTCACGGCAGCTTCAAAAACCTCGATGCAATATCCTCTTACCCCTTGCGGAGACTTATCTTTCGTCACAACTTCTTTATAACTATACCTATACGGCACCGCAACTCTCAACGGCTTACCGTTGTTCGGAAAAACCCATCCTCGAGGCTTTGTACTCGTTTCACCGGGCCAAATAATACTATAAAGATGTTGATTACCAGCAGAATGGTTTGAAGCCTTTGTGTATAACGATTCAGGAGAAGCAACCGAGAGCCCAGAATGGTTCGACCAGAACCCGATGGTCCGTAAACCGGCCCCACCTATGTTCACAACATCATAGGCCGGATGAATCAAGTTCTTGTCCGGGTCAAACTTCACCTCACCGGTCAAACCCACGAACGACGTGGCTAGAACCGTTTCGAGAAGCTGCTCTCCTTCGTTAAAAATCCGAAGAGCCGATAACCGAAGATCGCTTCTATTAGTGTCTCGAAGCTTAGAATCATATGAAAACGTTATCCGTTTTCCTGATTTCAAGAATTTGTCAAGAGAATGTGCAAGTAACCATACAGAATCATAAGCATAAAGAGCATATGAATTAAAACTAGATGTCTCTTTATCTTTAATACCCTTCCATTTCGTTGTAAAAGATTTCTTGGCATCGGAATTCGACGTATGTTGCCGGAGCGACACCACACCTTGTACTTGCTCCGTTGTTTCCGGATCCAGAAACTCCGACGAATCCAAAACCGCCGGAAGCCAATCTGTCGTAATCCAAACATAACCATTTGTCATCATTCCAAGCTTCTTTGCCGCCGTGAAAATCTCGAGACCTGAATCGGGATTTACGTGAACGACGTAAACTCGAGATTCCATCAAATTGACTCTGACTAGTAGTTCAGTAATGTCAGTTTGAGTTGCACCTGGGGCAAATGAAGCTTTATATGAAATCTTGGCTCGTTTCTTGGAAAGGGCATCGCCCAAAGCTGTGATCCCGTTTCTGCCATAATCGTCGTCTACGAATATGGCGATGACTTCTTGCCAATCGAAATATGCGACCAAATCGGCTACGGCCGACATTTGGAAGTAGTCGTTTTGTGAGGTACGAACAAAGAAAGGGAATTGAAGAGCTGAAAGTGTGGGATCTGTTGCACCAAACGAAAGGAGCGGTACGTGAAGTTCGTTTACGACGTGGGAAATTATGTGCGCGATGCCGGAGGATTGCGGCCCGATTGCGGCCACCACATCGTTCGCCATCAGCTGCAAAGCTACATCAAAAACGAAACAATACATCAAAGATAATATCTACGTCAATCAAAAACAATAAAATCCGCTTTATAGGATCCCAATAGATTGCTTTATAGGTTCTAAGTTTACGTGACCAAAAGTTTGTACCTACTGGTAAATGTGTTGATATTACAATAAGTTGATAGGGCTTTTTTAAACGTCGTAACAAGTTACTGTCGTATTATTTTATTATGTGCAACCATATATTTCTTGAAACTATAGCAATAACTAAAATTTCTCCCGGTAAACTTGGTTTGCACCGTTTTTCTTCCCTTCGAGGTGCCGATTTGAATTTCGTTTGTATCATTTTCTTAGTTTTACTTTTTAATTTTTCAGGTTTATTATGTTTCTAAAAAACTTGTGATAAAAGACTCGAACAATTGAGCTAACCAATAAAATAATGATAATTTTATAAAGATAATTCATAGCTTTGTTTTTTTAGTTAAATGGTCCCATAGCTTACCTTTTATAAAACAATTTATTAGAAAATATATATGTACATATATATATATATATATATAGGGTTAGGTTCGCGTGAGACCAAAGGTTTTTCGTGAGATCCGTAAGACCAATTTATGTTCATTGATCAATTTTATAATCTAATGATCTAATAGTCTAAAGTTGCATGGTGACAATTTTATGATTATTGAGAAGTCTCGTGATAATTTTGTGATTATGAATGTTCAGATTGTAGATTTAATCTAAGGGTTGAAATTGGTCTTACGAGTTTTACGAAATCCTTGAGCTCATATGATTCCAAGTCTAGAGAGAGAAAAAGAATGCTATATTTTATTGTAATGAACAGTGATAACATATATGATATTATTACACATTTGAAGATTCCTATATCGATTCCTATTTCCTATAAAAGTAGCAAAAGTACATGTAAACCTAAAAACTATTAGAGTTTATTTGTTAGCGGCTTAACGAACCTTACAACTTATTCGGTTAGGTATAAATGATTGTTTGATAATGGCTTAATGATATATATATCAGCCAAGTTTTTTCAAACTCCCTCCCCCCAATTAAAAAAACACGTTCTTTCTTATGAAAAAGAACTATTCAAAACAAAAACTTTCTCAATTTTACATACAGATTAATTCGCATGGATAAAGTTCTTTATCCATACATGAATTAATAGAAAACCAATCAAACAGTGTAAGGGGCTATTTGGTTGTATTTCTATTATTAAGTATTGTAAAGATAAAGTTGTTTGTATGAATTAAATTTTCAGTATAAATTGGAAAGGTGTGGACCGTTTCGACAAAAAGTCATGGCTAACCGAATAAGCTGCTAACAAACTGTAAATTTGAGATAAACAGGAGGTACCTTCAACTGTGCCAAGAAACCCACTGCAATTGGTATCATGCAAAATAAGGTTGAGTCGAGTTCCAGCAAGAACAGTTGGATTAGAATTGACGTCATCAATGGCAGCTTCAATAGCAGGTTTCACAGACCGCCCAATAACCGAATCCACAGTGAATAAAGCTCCAATATTGACAACCCTAGGAATTCTCCAAGACGACGATGATGAATCAACTGTTGTATCTCCAGTTTTACCCTTGACCGCCATAGCCACCACCACCATCATCATCACCCACATACCAAAAACCAATAAACTTGGTTTCATCGTTTACAAATCTCCAGTTTCTTTGAAGGGAAAAGAAAACCCTTTTCGAAAATCGAGTCAATTGAACTTAATCAGCCATGGATGAAGATGAACAGAAGCAGCTGCAGCTGCAGCCATGGATTTGAACCAGAAAACTTTAGCTTTGGGCAAAGAATCAAGATTTCAAGAACCATGAAACATAAACCCACAAGATTATGATACAGATTCAATGTTTTTGGAGCAAATTGGCAGTGAGATACGAATAAACACACATGGGAAACCTGTAAAAATGCATCCCACAGAGAGGAACATGTGTGTGTATATATATATATATATATATATATATATGTTCAGTGAGAGCAAGAGATGCAGAAGTGGCATAAACTATGAATTTAAAGATGAGAAAGTGAAGATAGAATCTTTGTTTTTAAATTTCGGGTGACGCAAGCTGTGGGGAGTAGGGAAGCTGAAGCAGAAGCTCACAGGAGTCTTTAGTTGTGGGTAAAGAATGATTCTCTTTTTGTGGTGTATGTGTCGATTATGGAGAAATATACCAAGACACCATTTTAGCTGTTTATTTGTTAGTTGCTGAATCATTTGGTGCAAAATGGTTAAATGATCAGACCGTCAGAATGATTAAAAGGTTCTTATAAAATGGTGTGAAATGAAATATAATTATTTATGATAAAATCAAGGCGTTGAATGGTTAAGAGAGGCACAAGATGCAAAATCATTCAGATGAAATCAAATTATTTTGCCCTTTTCATTTTTTATACCAAGGAATTAGATGAAACGTTAAATCTTCAATATGCGTACGATTTTTCATTTCATTTCATCCACATAGTACTCCCGATGAGGTGACCACAATTATGCAGGGATGGTACAGACCTAAATTATCTAAAACTCAAATCTGAACCCAAACCGAAAATAACGTGTTTGTGTAAATTCAAATGTTCCTGAGGAATATTCGATTGAGGAACACTAAATATCTATAATATCTGTCATGACATTCATTATAGATATTTTATCGTGTTATTCATCATGAATACTCATAAAATATTCAACGTTCGTAAATTAACCCCCTCCTCTCTTTTTATATATATATATATACATATATGTGTGTGTGTGTGTGTGTGTGGGTGTATATATATATAGAGCGAGAGAGATGAACGATCAAATGCAAACCACCTATATTTGTATAAACCGTGCAAAACACTCTCATTCGTCGATTTCATTGTTTTAATCTTATGAATTTTTTCCATGAAATTGTTTAATAATTATTTTTTGATGAAGTTGTTTCATATATGGTTATGAATCGTATAAATACTTATGTAATTTTAATGAAATTGTTTCATGTATTTCTCTAAAATTTATATAATAAAGATAATAATATTCATGATTAACATCATCCACAATAAAGAAAATTATGATTGGTTGAATAAGATCTGTACGGTTTGTACAAATAACGTGGTTTACAAAGTAAACCTCCTATATATACGGGTTTCATCCTTGTGCTTTAAGGGTTTCCGTCTCTACATTTCATTTTATTACAAAAAACCCTTGAAGTAATGTTTTTGCTTTATTTTTTGTTCCTCCCGTTAACATCTGTTATCTTTAGCAGTGAAACGTTCCACTTACCATTCACGTTATGATATTTTAATCATTTTATTATAAATGTTAGCGTACAAGAATCGAAGGATGTAACATGTTATTTCAAAAAGAAAAAAGAACGTAACCCTTAACCCTCCATCCCCCATAATCAAAACCACAACCTGCACCTCCGCCTCTATCTACATGGTCGACATCAGTATAGATTTAATACCCCTACTTTGATTCACATGTGCATGCTTCTCGGGAATTACACACCCCAAAACATCAGCATAATCCTTGAATGACACCTTGCAAAATCGAATCCTCACCAATGCTGAATGTCATGATCCAAGAAACAACTGACGCTTTACCTTCATTCAAGATCCAATGGCTATTTAATTGACCAAAACAATGATATGCAAACTCAAACCATGACAAAAATCACATATGATTTTACTTACGTACAATATTATATACTTAAAAAAACTGAAAATAGAAAGACCAGAAAACAAAAACACCCGTAGGGGCTGAATAGTATATAAAATGCAAAGGAAGGGCATAAACGACATTTAAGAGCAACAGGTAGGGGTACATAAGTCCTTAAGAAACAGGGAAGGGATAAAACGTTCTGATTTTTATGATATCGTCTACGCTTTTGGGACTCTTTACAACAGCGCCATAGTTGATTATCGAGAACAAAAATGGCTACTTCCGTCGCTTCTTCCTTCCAAATCAGGTAAGAACCCTAATTTTCGGTTTCATTATTGCTTATAGTTTCCGATTTTCATGTTTAAACAATCACATGTATGTATTTATGTTTGCATTTCGACTTCGATGCGCATGAATTTATGTTCTACATGTTTCACATATTCAATGGCGTAATTTAAGAGTTATTGCAGTTTATGTTTGTATTTTAGCAAATTTGATTGGTGGTAGCTGAGTTTGGGCAAGTTTTTATCCAGGTTTTGGATTTTCGTAATGTTTACGGAAGGTTATATATATATTTGTAAGGTTGAATGTTAGGAAATTGATTACTGTAGCAGATAAACTAATTCAAATAAGAAGTTGAAATTACTGTAGCAGATAAACTAATTCAAATAAGAAGTTGAAACGAAAATTTTGGTTGCAGTTAATTAAACGGTTTTATTCGAGTGATTTGCACAATTTTCCTCCGGTGATTACTTACATGCCTGTTTTTACGTGATTGAAATTCTGCGGCAACACCACTATGATCGAAACAAGAGAGTTACGTTTTGATTTTAGAGGTGTACCTTACATTTGAACTCCAAAATTGATAATGCTCTGTCCCGAAAGAAGATATGACATTGTTTAATGGAAGGATTTAAAAATTAACTGTAACTGAGAAATTGTGTGTAACAAAATGAAAGCTATCAATATTTTGATGATTTCTGATGGCAAAGGGGTATCAAGGTTGAAACGTTGTCAAGAAAAAGAATTGTCAAATTTATTGCCGGACACCCTCAAAATGGATTTTGCTATAGAGTAAATTATTCTTGGGAAAAATAGTTAGAATTATGGTAATAGGGCATCCATACCCTTTGAGAATATATGGAATCCCCATATTAACTCTCCTAAAGCCCTTGAGAAGAGAAAGGAGGTTCCAACATATCCGCACATGGATCCAAGCCAAGGTCTACCACTCTAGGACTAGTACTTGTTTAGCCCCCTCACCCGTCTAGCCCTCTGTCGACAGTCTAGGACAATAAGTGGCCGACTGCTGTTTGGCTGACCCCCTTCTTCCCATTCTGGCTGGGCTAACCCAGAAGTACAGTCTAGCCTCCGTTGGAGGGTGTTAGAGTCTCACATCTGTTAGACTGGACAATTTCTTCTCTTTATATGTTGGAACCTCCCTTCTCTCCTCAAGGGCTCTTTTGAAGAGTAATCTAGGGGTTCCACGTATCCTCACACACCCAATGGGAACTTGGACCTTGAGGACAGGCTGGTGGTAAAAAAGGTCCTTTGGATACTGAAGATGTTAATAGAAGCGTCTCCGTGGAAACTTTGAGGCCACATATGCTTTAGCAACAACCTATACATATGCAATTGGCAACAATATGTAAAAAATTACAACCTATACATATGTATTTGGTAACACATCACTTCTGATTATTCCCTGCATTCATACTTAGATAGGTAGATTTCCTCTCTATTTCCTCTCAACCTCTTTGTTGGTCCACACTCTCACTCTCACACCAGAGGTAGATCCAATGATCAAAACCTGCTTGCGAGTCCAGTGTTTTACTGGTTGCTTGATGCTTGATAGTGGCTGATTGGGTATACGAATTTTGACACAATCACCAGGATTTGCATTGAAATAATTATGACAATTACTACAAGGAGAATAATTCTGTTGTCAAATTTGCAATAAAACTCATGTCACATCTCTATTTGAAGAAATTGACCCTTGACATCAAAAATAGAAACTAGCTATTTTCTGGAGGGAGTAACAACATTATCTCATGTAAAACAACTTTTAAAGACGTTAAATCAAATTGGTTGAACTCTACTTCCAAGTTTGAAATATGAAATATAAACTCACATCCGATAAAAACTTACTGTTACTCCTCTTCTTTTCCAGATTCGGTGCCAGAAGCAAAATATCCCGTGACCTCTGGCAGTCAAGCCCAAATGCTAATGGATGGAAGTGTTTAAACTTGTCTGAGAGTTATAAGTTGGGCAGGTCCATACACAGATCGTTAAGGGGTTCGTTGGTGGTTTCCCCGATGGCTATAGGAGCAGTATGGACTTGATATATTACTTCAAAGTTCCCTTAACTTCCCATTTTAGTAGATATAGTATTGTGTTTCTAATCTTCACTGGTTTTGCTTATACTTAAATTTCTTAATTTCATAAACAATTATGAAAAGTCAATTTATCAAGTAACACTTGGAAGTGGATATTATCATGCTAATAGACCATTGAATCCTGCCATATTTTATTTCTTTTTTACTTTGATATTGAGTTCATTGCATATCTACAGACATCGATGCAAAAACACAGATGTATCTAATAGTAACAGACAGTTCCCCCTGCCTGCTAGTGGATCTAATATTTGATAAAAGAATCTTTAATTCTTAATTGTTAGTTGATATGCATACCCTTTCACATAAGATTTGTGTTGTGTCCTTCTATACCACGTGTAAGCATTTCTTAAGAGAAATCAAGTCTAAACAAAGAAAACACCCAAACGCCCTGTAGCAGCACCAAAATTAGGGACATGATTAGACACCAGCTAGGGCAAAGACCCTGTGTTACTGTCTGCAAGTATGTATTTGGTTTTCTGGCTGCATAAGTTGTTAAAATGAACGAATTTTCCTGCAGAATACGAGTCAAGATACAGACGACATGTACGATGACATGTTTAAGAAATACGGGAAGGTTGTTTACAAAAGGAATGATCAAAAGTCTCCTACTGCAGAGGTTGATGACGATGCTGAGTGTTTGGCTTGTAAGCCCTTAATATTATACCTTTTGATTGCAATCTTGAAAGTTTTTCTTTTCTTAATTGGTAACTCGTATTGTATTATTTTTGTTCTCATATAGTTGCTGTGGCATTAGCAAAGATCGCAAGTGATGTGAAGGCTGCAGATATCAAACTCCTCTTTGTGAAACCTCTGGTCTATTGGACCAAATTCTTCCTCATTACCACTGCATTTTCTCGACCTCAAATTGACGCCATCCGGTAATGATTGTTAGTTGTTACTCATTATCTTAAAAAGGGGCGGACCCAATATGGTGCATACAGTTTCATATTATTTTGTTGGGTGCTACCATATATTAATTAAAACTACAATAATAACACAAGTTTCTCTTGGTAGAGTTGATTTGCACAGTTTTTACTCTCTTTCCAGGCTCGGAGTCCAGTCCCATTTGTATCATTTTCTTAGTTTTTAGCTTTTAATTTCAAATTTATTATGTTTCTGAAAAAAAAAAGTGGGATAAAAAACTTGAACATACGACCTCATACAAAAAGCAAGGAACTAATAAATAGACCAATGATTTTGTAAAAAATATTCGTAGCTTCGTTTTTATAGTCAAATGGTACCACCACTTGGAAAAATTTCTAGGTCCACCTCTGATCTTAAAGCACCACAAGGTAACAATTGAAAAATAGAATGCTAATCTTGTTTTTGTACTGCAGAACCAGAATAAATGATCTAGCTGAAACACAGTACGGGAAATTTTCAACCGGAGATTCCAAACCCAATTCATGGACCTTATTAGACTTTGGTAAGTTTTTTCACTCTTCATTGTTCTTGACTGCATGTGAAATTGAGCTCTAACTTTATTGTGAACAAAGATCCCCCACAAACGTCTAGCCTGAATGGTGTTTGAGAACCAGGGGCGGACCTACATAGGCCCATACGGTGGCACGGGCCAGACGCTTTATGGTTCCATTGTGAGGGAAAAAAATTACGTTTCTGAAGGGTGCCACCGTATTGTTTTGTTGGGTGCCACCATATAGTTTTTTATACCGAATCTTATAAGTCTCTAATGGCAAAGTTGGTAAATGTTGCTCACTTTGTATGAAAACCCCGGATTCGAGTCCACCAATGTCAATTTTTTTAGTTTTCGGCTTAAATTTTGGTGTTTTTTTATATCTTTTAGAAAAAAATTTATAGCCTGACTCGAACATAGGTCCCTTTAGTTCAAGGACAAGGAACTAACCAACCAATCTATACTCCAATCTATACTAATACTGTGAAGTATTTCAACAATTAGCACGTTTGTTTTTATGGTCAAATTGTGCCACCACCCAGAAAATTTCTAGGTCCACCTCTAGTTTGACCAGCCTTTAGGTGGTATTATATATATATTGGAGCTTAAGCTGTATCAAAGCCAGGCACTCAACACTCTAGGGCAACCTATACTCGTCTAACCCCCTCGTGACACTATGGGTCAATCAATTCCCATCTGGCCTCCGTTGGAGGACGCATGTTGGAGTCTCATATCGGCTTTATTACTCCTCAATAAATGTTGGAACCTCCCTTCTCCATTTTCGGGGTTCTTTTCGAGAGAAATCTATTGGGGTTCATATATTTTCACATGGTATTAGAGCCAAGGTCTAAGGACTCTTAACACTCTGAGGCAAATCAATCTCTATTCGTCTAGCCACCTCTGGACACTATTGGTCAATTAGTTCCCGTCTGGCTTGGAGGGGGTGTGTTAAGAGTCTCACAAGTCACATCGCTCATTGACTTTGACTCTATCTCCTCAATAAATGTTTGAACCTCCATTTTTCTTCCCAAAGGCTCTTTTAAAGAGTAATCTAACGGGGTTTCATGTATTCTCACAAAGTAACAATGACAATGGGTAAATATATAATTTTAGCTTTGACCTTTTGCCAAAAAGGAAAATATTGCGAGTTTTATGGTCTTATACGTGTTCTTTGCTTCTTACTTCCTCCTCGTGCTACGATTAATTGGTCCATTTTGCATTCTCCCCAGGTGATATAGTCGTGCACATATTTCTTCCAGAACAGAGAGAACTTTACAACTTGGAAGAGTTTTACGCAAATGCGACTCCCATAGAATTACCATTTGAAAACCAACAAAGTTTTAACCGTTGAAAAGATGGTCTTTTCGACCACTCCATCCCACAATAACTACTTATTTGGCCTTTCGTGAAGGAGCCCGTGCACGGGCAAATTGAACTCTGGTGTCGAGACACCAATGAAGATGTAGATTAGAGGGTTGTCGGGCTTGTATTTTAGTACTGGTTGTGTATTCGTATGTGATGTAGCAGGTTGTAAGATTTTATTTATTGTAAACCATTATTGCAATTTCTCAATAGAAAAGAAAACCAAAAATTTATATTTGAACAAAATAGAAATTACATTTATCTGTAACACTTACTGCTTAAATGGTTAAATATGGTTGTTTGGTAATTGTTCAGAATGAAATTAGGGCGCTGAATGGTTCAGGGAGGCTCAAGATGCAAAATTGTTCAGAAGGTTTTAGAACTATTAAGAGACATATTTTTTTTTTTGTTGACAAGCACGATTCACCTCTTAATGATTTAGAGACTATCTATTAATAAAACTATTAAGAGTTAAACAAACAACCTTTCAGCGTTTTTTTAAAGAGCTATACTAAATGTATGTAGAAATAGAAAAGTGAAGAGAAAGAAGTAGTAATTTTTTTTTTAAATAAAATGTATTGAAATAATGAATTTATATCATATTTTAATAATATAATTAATATTAGAATTACTAAAATAAAATAATTGTTCAAGTTGGATGTAACTATTTTTATATATTTAAAAAATTATAGTTAGTGAAGCATTTTCAACAGATTTTCTAAAATGAAGATTTTGAGGATTTTTGGTCCATCGAATTCCCAAAATCTTATCCAAAATGGAAGTAGAGGATGAAATTTTCTAAATTTTTTAAGATTAACCTGGATATCCAACCCGCTTTGCGAACCGACTAATCACAGGGCAACCACCTGCTTTGCAGGTTGCCCGGAGTCACTGCATTTGAACCTCCGTGACCACAAGTGGGTTTTTGTTCCTCCTTGGATTTGAACCTAAGACCTCCTGACACTTTTGATCTTTGAAGCCAACCTCAAACCAATCAGACACCACCCTTGTAGTTACAATTTTCTAAATTTAGAGAACTCTTCAAAAATAAGTATTTATGAAAGAGAAACTATTTTTTATTCTTTCTACCAATGAGAATCTTTGAGATTAAATGTACAAGATAGAGGAAACTAATATTTTATGAAAACGCATTGAACATTTTAATAACATAATTTATGGCGAAGGATCGCGTGAGAAACGTAAGAAGAGATCTGAACATTTGATCACTTTTAATTTCGTACCATCAATGAATTACGTTTTAGAAGGGAATTGATCGAATGCATCTCGGTGTACCTCATTAGGGTTCACTTCAATTAGAATTGATCCTGGTATGAAGATCTCTTCTTATGTTTTTTAACATTTCTTTCTTTAAATCTAAATCATACCAGCAAAGCAGGTGGTCATCCTGAAATTAGTTGGCTCACATAACGGGTTGGATATCGAAGCTAATAAAAAAAATTATATTAATAAATAAAATAGGTATTGAAGATGAATATAAATTATGAATAGATTTAGCAGGTAAAAAAGGAGGGCATAAATGTCAACGTGGGTACACAATTCCTATCTTAAACATGGTGAGGGGATAAAATAGTCTAGGGGAGTTTTTGAACATCATCCTCTATCTCTATCTCTATCTCGTCACCATGGCTGCTTCTTCACTCACTGCGTCTCTCCATAACAGGTACTCTCAAACCCCAATTCTCTTCTCTTTGCTCTTCGCATTTCATTATAACCTTCAATCTATGACGAACATTGAAACCTTTCTGTGCCATTTGAGCCATCTTCACCTCAATTAGGGTTCATACGGTCTGATTTCCACGTCCTTTATCACCTCAATCTTAATTTCATAAGGTATTTTGTTGTGTTTTATGTAGAATTTAAACATTGTACACTTACAAGCTTGATTGATGTGGATGTTTGATTTTTCTCGATAATTTCGCAGTTTAATCATGTGATGTGATGATATGAACTTAGTTTTTGCTTTATTGATTCATTTTTCAATTATAGTTCGGTGAAAAACCAAATGCTCTTTATTTACTCAGTTTGTGATGGATTTATAACTCGGAATTGTAAGAAATCTGAACACAGTTTATGTAGAGAAGATAAACCCTATCCTCTTCCACCCTAATTATGCAACCATGTGTATTTGTTTGTTTTTGATGCAAGTATGTCTATAAATCGAAGATCACTAGAACAAATATGAGCTCCTGGTTCAAATTTCAACCCATTCTGCAAATTGTGTTCTCTGTTTATTGGGAAAAAATTTGTAGTGGTAAGATTTTGGGGATCATATATTCATATTCCCTTTGTGACAGCCAAATTGGATCTGCTTTTTTGGGTGAGAGGCATGGAATCTGTGTTTCCACTGTTCCTGTTACGCGTCTCGGTTTTAGAAGGAAGATTGTGGAATGTAAAGAGTCAAGAATCGGGAAGCAACCAATTGAAGTTCCATCGAATGTGGTAATCACACTAGAAGGCCAAGATATGAAGGTGAAGGGTCCGTTAGGGGAACTTGCACTGTCTTATCCACGAGAAATAGCTATTGATAGGCAGGAGACGATTATTAAGATCAGTAAGGCCATGGACACCCGGAGGGCCAACCAAATGCACGGGCTATTCAGGTACTAATCTTGGATCTTTATTTTTCTTTTGCCATTAGTATGTTCAGGCTTAAATCTCACCAATTGATGTACACCGAAAGAAATAGGATGGAATTGCGAAAGAAATCAAATGGTTATGTTAGGTTTCTGTCTTTCAAGAGGCCAGAATCTCTCCACAGACTCACGTCCAAAGGGTTATAAAACAGAATGCCCTTCACGTTCCTCGTCCCTATATTTATACTAAACCCCAACTTTACCGACTTGTACCATTTACGCATTACCTACTTGTACCCTGTTTAACCAGCTTACTGAAAAGACTTGGCTAAACCTCGGGGTATAACATATTTCTTGGATCTCGAATGTCTATAATTGCTTATGCTTTGAGGAGCTTTTACGGAAGGTTTTGAACTTCTGACTATAGCTTTGGGTTGGCACCAACATAATGCATAATTAGGGCAAGTTTCATTTCCTCAAATTCTTCATACTTTTTGGGCAAGTTTTCCTTTTTGCACACTTTTCGCAAGCCGAGAGATCTTTACAGAAACAACCGCTCTACTCTTTCCGGTAGAGACATGTCTATGTACATCCCACCCTCTAGACCCCAGTCAGATGGGATATACTGAACTCGTTTGGTTTAGATTTTCTTGATCAAACTCATGGTCCTGTAGCATCTTCAGCCTGCAGTCGGTGCATTTGGGTGCTAATTTTCTTCTTTCTAAGCTATTTTTTTAAGTATATAATCTTTATATACGGGAAATACTCATGGACGCTCCTCACCTTTGGCGAGGTTTGAACCACTGACCTCTTGGATGGCTGATTCTATTGGTAACCCGGAAATCGCTGGGCCAATGACCCTTTGGTCTTATAAAGCTATTGTGTTCAGACTTAGGTTCTGACTCATTATGTAGCAATTGGGATGCAGAGATTTTAGGTGTAAAAGCTTTAATTCACATATTTTTTGAGCTAAACGTTTTGATTTCGGATGTATCTTGGCTTGTAAGATGAGCATAGCGTCAAACGTATTGATTTGTTCTGTTCAGGACTCTTACAAGCAATATGGTGGTTGGTGTATCGAAGGGATTCGAGAAGAAACTTCAGTTGGTTGGTGTCGGTTATCGTGCAACAGTAGAAGGGAAAGAATTGGTATTGAGTCTTGGATTCTCTCATCCGGTCAAAATGACGATCCCGGATGATCTTAAAGTCAAAGTTGAAGAGAACACCCGAATCACAGTGAGTGGATACAATAAGTCAAACATTGGTCAATTCGCAGCTTCGATAAGGAAATGGAGACCTCCAGAACCATACAAAGGTAAAGGTGTGAAATATGCAGACGAGATCGTTAGACGAAAGGAGGGCAAAGCCGGGAAGAAGAAGTAGGCTACCGAGTTCGAATCTCAAATGTCATTTCCCTTCCGTTATTTATTTTTTGCTATCGAAATTCTTTCTCAATCTTGCTTATAAAAACCTTGTGGATTGTCTTCTGGTAATATAATTTTGTTATGGGGTTAGAATTGCATTATAGAATCCATTTGTTTTTCGAGCGTTACCCCGAGTAGTAAGCGTGAAATTTGGATCTAACCTAGGCAGTATCGACTAGACTTGAAAAAATGGTATTTGCCACCTTCTGAAGCGACCCCACCACACTGGTCCCACAGCCAACGTGCAGAGGTAAATCACGTATGCATCACATTGCAGAGGGCTTGAACCCATGATCTCACATATATGGATTACACTTACACCCATACCCATACCCCTACGGCTAGGACAGATCAGCTGGGACGAGGAAAAAGGCAATCTTGATGTATCCACCGAAAGAAAAGTCTGTCGTATATTCTTCAGACGTTACACACATAAACCAAACTACATCAGTAAGGGGTTGTTTGGTTGGTTTTTCATTAAATCTCGCATGGATAAAACTATTTGTGTGGATTAATCTGTCTATATAAATTGAAAATGTTTTTGTTTGGGAAGGGGCTTTTTCCTAGATGAAAGAAACATGTTTTTAATTGTTCGGAAAAATTGGTTTTCTGCATAAACTTCCCCTTTAGAAGCTTACTTAATAATCCACTTTCTATATCATTAAGTCACTATCAAATAGTAAATAAGCTGTAAGTTTCATTAAACTCGTTAAGCTGCTAACAAATAGAACCTAAATCTCATATTTGATCGAAAAAATTGAGGTGAAAGAACAAATTAAGAGGAATAAGAAAGACAAGTGCCCTACAAACCTTTTTGTAATTGATTAAAGAAACATGAAAAAATGGTTGACTTTTGAACATATCAAAGACAAAAACCAGTAGGGTTCCCTCTTGATCAAGAAAAAGATGAATAACCACTGGGTATTTTTCAGCCTGTTCTCAGGGGTCTGAGATTAGTCGAGGTGCGTACAAGCTGATCCGAAGATCCATGTTAATAAAAAAAAAAGATGAATATTAGTTGTTCTTTTAAGAAAAGAGATGCAAATTAGTCTTGTACAACATATATTCAACAATGAAGATTCTTTCTATTCACATGCATTCACAAGTTTTGGCCAAGAAAGCATCCCACACACAAACCCATTTCCAAGCCACCAACCCCATTAAATAAAAACTCTAAAGAAACCTCTCAATGAATATAACATTATTGGGTTTTCAATAGCAGAAAAATAGGGTTCATAATTCGATGATATAAACATTGAAATCAATCCAAAATCTTGGAAAAACTTGGTCTCCTGAGTTGGTTCCCAATGGGGATAATAGACCAATCTCCCTCATGCTTCCCACACTTCAAATCCACAGTTTCCACTATCCGCCGTGCCACTTTCTTATCGTGTTCTTTCGCTCGTACCGGAGTCTTATCGATCCACGAATCCTCGGAATCTAGCATCGGAATCCGCTGAACTGCCTGCCGACTGACTTCCTTCTTCTTGTTCTTGTTCTTGTTCTTCTTTTCTGGCATAACCTGATCACGGGCATCCCTCGAGCTGCCACCATTCATCGACACCATTCGTTGCAGCCGCTTGGTAGACCCCCCACATGAAATCGAAACCGGAGCAGTCTGCATTCTTCTTGATCCGATTTCGGGTTTCTTTGATGAAGTTTTGATGATATTGGAATCAAGTTCTTGCATCATCAAAGCACTTACTTTCCCAGTTGCCCCTATTCTGATGCTACCACCACCACCATCATTTTTGGCTTTGGCATTTTCACAAATACCTACCATGCCTTGCCTCAAATCAATCCAATTCAGACCAACCCCAAAAAAGATTCTACAAATTGATTAAAATTGCAAGTCAAATCTCATGGAATTGAGAATCAGAGGACATGAATATGGATCTAAGAACAAGATATATGGATTGTGAAGAAGGAAACATACCAGAAATATATGTGGCCAAGAAACTTTGAGCCAAATTAGAATCACTGTTTTGTGCAAACCCAATGAGATTGAAGGAAGGAGATGGGAGAATCTGTGTTTTGTTTTTCTTTAAATCTGTGTTTGTCTGGATCATGTAGCTTCTCAGCTGTTCTTGACCATATATATATATGAGATATATAATACATTATAGTCATATGGACATGGACAGATACTCTTGTAGTTTAATTAACTTTTATATTTATCAATAAATTGAATATTTTAATTTGTTGCCAATTTTTTCAAATGAAAAGGTCCAAATTTATTAGATATGTCATGTGGTAAAAATTGCTTTTTTACTATAAATATCTAAAATAAATATCAAATTGATAATTTATAGTGATTTAAACCCMCCCTTTTTTTTTTTTTTCAAATGTGAATGATAAACCTAAATTTTGTTGTGAATTAAGGACAGTAAAAAAACCACTACATGTTTCGAATATAACGTTATACTTATTTTAATTGGTGTAAAAAATCACGTTCATTATTCATGATGAATGAAAATAAACTGAGGTATGTGTCGCGCCCTCCTTTGTCTATTGGTTCACAACGTAAAAAAAAATGTTTGTAATTAAACTTTTCTGTATATTCAAGAAAAAGTTGGTAGATGTAGCTTCATTTCCTAATTTGATATATTTATTGATTTGGTATGATTTGGGTTGACAGCAAAATGAAAATATATGATATGAAGTCCATTTTTTATTTTATAAGAAATAAAGATTATATAAATGTTATAGTGTGTGTATAAACGTATGTATATATATATATATATATATATATATATATATACACATTTATTATTATATCAAAAATTTATTTTATTTTCAATTATTATAAATTTAAGCTTAAAAATATTGTTTTTTAAATAAACGGGTACACAACGGGTTCTCAAACCCATCGGCAATTAGTCAGGATGGGGTTAGCAATAGGGGATTAAACAGGGATTAGTAATAGGAATACATTCCCAGTCCAATACCCGTTCTTAATTATACCTATTCAGTTAGGTTTTAGTTTGATGTTATTTCAATGTCTTAGCACGTTTTTATGTCATTTATCTTATATAGAAGTCAATTAATGCAATCAACTTCAAAAAGAGAGATTGTTTCCCCTCAAGAGAAGTTAAGAGTGATGATGGAACATGGGATGCTACCAAATACCAACTGGGTAACACCAACTATTTTTTTTCTCCTTTCAATTACATGAAAGTTAGTACAACTCCTTATAAGTTATAAATGATGGATTGGGTTGGGCTCAAAGCAAGCCAAAAGCCCATATTTGTTTCCATGGGCACAGCCATCTGTTACTGTGTCAAAGACCAAAAAGGCTGACCGTCGAGATTAATTATTTTCTTGCTTTAAGTGGTCAAAGCACCAATATTTCTTAGAATGAAACATAAGGTACAAGTACCATTGCATTCTCACTAGCCACACAAGCTTAAAATGAAGATTTTTCCTTTTCTTTTTTATTAATAAAAAACTAGGCTAAAATATCTATGGTTTCGTCATAGATTAAGATTAAGGTTTCGTTTACCAAATGCTAACTGGATCACTTATTTTATCGTATGAGCATGACAAGTACCAAGATTCTTACCTGGTATAAATATGGAAACAACTAAGGTTCTTATCCTGTTACTCGATAAGACATGTGATGTGACAACTCTTGATGATAAGGGCTTACCGAGTAACTATTTATAACCCATTCACTTTTCATTCTCAACAACTAATCTAATATGTATAACTTGTGTTTTGTATGAAACCGTAACCTGGTCGTGTAATTAACTTGTAGAAGCATGAACAAATTAAGGTAGTTCAGTAGTTCCCCTAGCCAAAATTTGAAAAGAAGCAAGTAGATCTTCATGGTGATGTGCAAATAGAAAGGAGGCATCTAAGCAACAAAGCTACAATAGAAAGTAAATCTTCTAATATTAAGGAGGCCTCTAAACAACAGAAACTATAATAGAAGTTTCTTAGAAACTATAATAGAAGTTCCTTAAAATTCATAAGAAAACATTTTATCCACAAATCATATTATTACTCCCTACTTTTATTCTACCTAATAGATCTGCTTCACTACTTTCTTCCCATGGAGTAGATAGCACAGGAACATCATCAATCTACAACAGTATTAAACAGGAAAGAGATCAAAACACATGACAAAAGAGCATATAGAACTTCTGTAAAATAGATCACGCTAACAAGAAGGCAAGTTTTGTTTGAAGAGGTTTGAAGAAGAACAACTCGAATTCTGACAAACGATTAATTGAGCTCAAATTTGGATCTCATAGAATCATGGTTGACTGTCTATGTTTGTTTAGAATGTTACCTAAGAGCTAGCTTCCTGTTCCACATCATCGTGAGTATCTGAGGACGATTTTGACGTTGATGCAGACTTCTCCTTCGCGGTTCCATTCTAATTATTCACATATCACATAATTGATTTGAGAAAATTAAGAGAGTGAAATATGGAAGTAATCACAAGACATGATCTATGCTGCAGATAATGATGATTTGTTAAAATGTGACAGAAAAGCCATCGCAATTATTACCAGATCGTCGTTGTGCTGTTTCATAGCAATCCCGTACTCTGCTTTCTTAGTTGCGGCCTTCGCCACATAAGGAGCTTTCTCCTGCACACAGAATACATACACGCAGCAACATTTGACGACTGCTGTAAATGAAAGAGAATAATGACAGGAAAATTGATCATATAGTTCAATTTTGTGAAGAGATCTTACGGAGTTGGACATCGACTTCCACTTAACTCCGCCCTCCTTTGCAACCTGTAATGAACACATAAACTCATCAATCGGATCAAAATTATGTTTAGTATTTAAAAATTTGTTTCAAAATACATCATCGGTTGAATATGATCAGATCCATACTCATTAAATCATATAGAATAAAATCAGTCCAAAAAATCTAGGTAAGTGAATTCGAACGTACAACCGACACAGATTTGTTGTTCGGAAAATTCTCCTTGTATTCTTTCCTAAATTCCTCCCTGTAATGTGAACAAAAAAAGGAAAAAAAACTATAAACATCATTCTAAAACAACAAACAAATCCTCTCTTCATCTAGATAAAAAAAAACTCGCAGATCAGAAAGCAGTACAAAAGTCATTCTTACATGAAGACGAAGAAAGCAGTCGGAGGCCGCTTAGGAGCACCGGAATTTTTACTTGATGTTTTGTCCTTCTTCCCTATGCTCTTATCCGCGGCCTTCGTCTTCTTCATTGTCCTTAAAACAATATCAAACAACAAATAAACACTTCAAAATTCGGTAATCACCACATCCGGAAACATATGAGCGATCAATAAGCTAGAAATCATTTTCCACGAGAAAATATCACGAAAATCGATAGAAATTACTCAAAACAAACAAACAAACAGATAACTACATTATTATTATTACGTCGATGAATTGGATCAACAATCAGTGTAAAGGTAGAGATGATAAAAACATAGAAGAGAAGTGCAAAGTTTTACTCAGGATTGAGCTTCTTTTGAGCAATAGTAGCAGTGCTCTTGGGTCCTCTCATTACTCCACGTTCTGAAACTGAGATCTGAATGCGTGTGTAGGAATTGTGAGAGAAGGGTGAACAGGCATGGGTTATTTATACTCTTGGTGTACGACTTAGATTTTTGGCGGGAAACAAATCAGGTAGTTCTTGTGGTATAACAAATCAACAAAAAACAGACTGCAATCATTTTTGAATCAATGGAAAAATTAGACTATAGTAAAAAAAAAAACCATAATTAACAAAATTGAATTATCATTAAATATGAGATAGATAATTTTTTGACTCACTCAATGGCTGGAGGCTAGCTGGAGGCTTGAGATTGAACCCAAGATTTGTCTTGAATTTTGGGTTGTCGAACTTGTAAACATTGAACATAGACATCCCTTAGCATGTTAAATGTGAGATTTTGAACACGGACCCTGAAATTTTGGGGCCCAAATTTACATGTGTTTAGGGTCTTTTATCGACATGTGTAAAACTATAGCGGTTTTAGGTTTAAATCATTAATGGTTTAAGTTTAGTTTCAAATTGTTAATCGTTTTAGGTTTAGCCCATTTTTGTTCTTAACACATATTCTCTATTATCTCATTTATGCAATATAATCAATAGTTTTGGATGTAGCAGGGCCTCCAAAAAAATTGAAACGTCCCTGACACTGAAGAGGAAGATGGTCAATACGAAGAGTCTGATGAAGAAATTAGCAAATATGAAGTATCTTGGTCCAGTGGGTCGGCGAGTGTACTTTGTGGATTTGTTTGAAGGAAAGGAGAGAGCGGGTCCATCCGCTACCACCTCTATTACGAACATTGTCACCACCTACATTGTTGAGTCTTCCAACCACTTGTTCAGGGCAACGTACCTAAACACACATCGACTCAGTCTCTTAAATTTAATATGTATTACCTAGCAAACGTAACCCAAAATTATTAAACTGCCCAACTTCAATCTCTTATAGTTTTAAATAACGCCTATGTCAAGTTTTTGGGTTTTGCCACTTTATTACTCGTTTTTTGAAATATATATATATATACAAATGAACTCATATACCATCTTTACTTTTGATGAGGTTTAAACGCTTGACTTCTTAGTAAGTTGGACTCTACCTTGTATATCACTAGGCCAAAAACCATTAGAATAGTTTTAGTCCACATTTCCAACATTAATACTCAAAGGGGAGCCTAGAGGTACAAAGTTAAATTGGGTTCCTGATACGATCCAGCCTGCTGTGTTGGACCCAACCAACACAGGCCTTACTTAGACCATATAACTATAACCCAAGCAAGTGCATAAGTGAACCTAGAAGAGAAAAGGTCCACCCAGTCTACCACCAACCTAAGACGTATCTGTAAGCATCCTCAATGGATGAACGATTATGTGGTGTGATATAGTAAAACAACTGTTGTTACTTAATAAGCAATTTCTGTTAGGGTTGTTCATTCTCGTTGCTACTCTAGAACAATAAGGTCATCAAAGAGGCAAGTGACCTTCTGATGTTAGGGATGGCCAAAGGATACCTTTATCTACTTGACTTGTTTGGGTACAAAAACATGTTTGATTAAAAAAACAGTTGAAAGTAAAATGTTGTAACGAGATGTAAAAATGACAAAATTTGCAAGTTTTTATTTATGAAAAATGGATGATTGATATTCTTGTCACATCAACAATATATACATGTTAATATTCAAATTGACCTGAAGACTCACGGTTTAAAAAGTTACATAAAATAATTTAAGGATGGCTGGTTTCTTCATCAATCTGAAGTTTTTCTGTTTCCAGACATGGGTTTCTTCATGGATTCTTTTTGCATCGATGCGTCGATCTCCTCCTCCCTGTTGCTTTTTTGCATCGATCTCGATTTTCTTTTTTGATTTCGTGAGATGCAACTGATTTTCTTATTTTGATTTCAAAGTCCCCTGAAACCAATAGTTCTTCATATATGTGTTAGGGTTGCGTATCAGTGAGAAATTATATTTTTGTTTTTGAAACAGAGATAATAATGTAATACAACTTCTTCTATTTTGAATATTGTATGTTCGTATGGATTCAAATTATTCTACTTCTAGATTGTTAATAGGTGATGAAGCCAATTTTATTGTCACACCCCGCTAAAGCGGAAACACGGGATGATAACAAACAAGCGAGTCTTGGCAACAGTTACAGAAAAACACTTTGTCAACGATTCAAAATACACAATTCATCGACTTGATAAAGTTTCAAGGTTACAAAAGTATTTTCAAATACAACAAAAACTGTCTTAATCGATCTTGATCCAAGTAATGCTCCCAGGAGTCCACACAACTTACTTAGCACCTGAAAAGCATGACATAAAACAGAGTCAACTACAAAGAGTTGGTGAATTCACGAGTTTTCACATTCATAAAATATTTCAATGCATAAACCAAGTAATAGCAAACTTATGCGAATTCTTTGCACTTAATAAATGTAAATCCCTCGCGATGTAACACTTGAGACGCTACTGAGTCTTACCTGACCAATATGCCCCATTAATTTTCGAACAACCAGAAGTAGCCCGTTCACTACTTAGGTCCCACGGTTCGATAAAGCACTAATTCAGCGGTGGTCTAAATTCCACATGATTAGGCTAGAAAACATAGGTAATTGTGCACCCCTTTCTGGGTGGGACTGTCAACACAATAGCGGCTATCCACAATACCACGGCTCGAGAATGAACCCGAGTTAACAAGTAGCATGTACGGACGGGGACTTTTATTTGGAAACATATATTCTCAAGCACATCAATTTAGCATTTATATTATAGTGCAAAACAGTAACAAATACAACTTAGAAACCCGACTATGCAGTTTCATAGTCCGGAGGTTTCAAATAAATAAACATGCAAAGCTTGCTCGTCATGCTTTTCCCCCCATAAAATAACAAAAACAGTAAAAGTGGGGCCGTGAACTCACAGGTTTGGCGAATGTCAAATGTTTTCTTAAGAGACCTGCTTAACACTTGCTCGGACTCCCTGATAGAGCAATCAATACTTAATAAAAAGAACTTCTAAACTACCATGACTTGAGCTGGGTAAAGCTGTTCAATGCAATATCGCCAGATACTAATACCAATACAGCTGATACATCAAATATTTGGTTTAAAGGGAAAATTCCAACATCTAAATATTGGCATCATTAAATGCCATTTCAAAACAAATGATGGCAGCCGTCAACTGTTGGAATCAAGAGATTTTTAGTGGGTTTAACACCCTTCCCAAGAACAATTTACAGCCTTGAGTCACCCGCCTCCCCAAATCGGTTGCATGCTCAAGAATGACAGCAAAATGAGGCTGTTTCGACTCAACAATGTCAAAAATAGAGATTGTTATCACCAAAATCCTTATCTCTAAA